TGAGATATGCGTTTCAATATTAAAATTTAAGTTGCACAATTAATATATGCTCGATTTTCTTTACTGTTGACTTCCAAAAAGTTTTCGGTCAAATTCCACAACCCAGATGATCGCAAAATTGCTTCAAAAAAAAAATTATGAATTGCTAGTAATATAATCTTTAATCAAAAGGTATTATTGGTGTGTCAAATAGCTATAAATCGATTAGCGTACATGTGTCTTTCGTTCCAGAACCAGCAGGGAAGGATCTCTGTATGAAAAGGTCACGCATGCACATCCTTGATTATTACCAAAAGTACACACAGTAGGTGGTGGAGGAGAAGAGTTTGATTTGTTGTTAACTCTCCTGTATTATATCACATGTTTTTATTTATTTTTATTTAGGCCTATATGTCATTGTTTTAAACTTTCAAAAGAAATTGCTATATAGAGGAATGACATACTTTTAAAAATCCAACAATTAAACACACAACTGGTAATACGCACCCCCTTTTTTTACGTTATCTATACAAGTATTCTGTGAAGAATGTTTTTTTATTCGGGGTTGTTCATATACTACAAGTTTAAGATTGTGTGCCTGTCAATTTATCTACATGTATAATATACGTTGTACTTATATTCTTGAGAGTCTAGTGGAATTTTAAAAGAATCTTTTTTAAAAAGATTACCAACACGTTACTCCTCCTTTTGTAAAAATTTTATAGTATGTTTCAAGCATCCAAACCACATTGAACTGTTCTCTAATGAATATTAATGAAATATGCGCAATGAGGATGCGTAGCATAATATGTCGATGTTTTATTCTCACTCGTGCAGTTTTCGTTTTTACGTTTGTGTGATTTCCTCACTATATCGTGTAAATATTTTGTTGATTGTGCAGTTTTTCTATAGTTTGTGTAAATTTCAATAGCTTCGTGTTTATTTTCCTCACTTTGTGTAAGTTTTTACTTACTCGTGTAATTTTTGTTTTAGGTCGTGCAGAAAATAATTTTGAAGCAATCGGCGTGCCATACTTATTGTTGAAAAATTGATTGCCCAGTTCGATGAACCGTCAGTAATTCATTTTCACCAAGCTCGAACCGTCAATGATTTACTATCACCAAGAGTGTGCTCCTAGAAAAGATGTGCTAGGTTCTTCAGACAAAGAAAACTTGGACCAACCAATCAAAGGTTATGTTTCTCTATGACTGGGTTTATGTTGTTCAGTGACTGGGTTATGTTTCTCTGTGACTAGGTTATATTGTTCAAGGACTAGGTTATGTTTCTCTGTGACTGGGTTATGTTGTTCAGTGACTGGGTTATGTTTAGCTGTGACTGGGTTATGTTGTTCTGTGACTGGATTATGTTGTTCAGGGACTAAATTATATTTTTCTGTGACTGGGTAATGTTGTTCAGTGACTGGGTTATGTTTCTCTGTGACTGGGTTATGTTGTTCAGGGACTAGGTTATGTTGTTCAGTGACTAGGTTATGTTTCTCTGTGACTGGGTTTATGTTTTTCTGTGACTGGGTTATGTTGTTCAGGGACTAGGTTATGTTGTTCAGTGAATGGGTTATGTTTCTCTGTGACTGGGATATGTTGTTCAGGGACTAGGTTATGTTTCTCTGTGACTGGATTAGGTTGTTCTGTGACTGAGTTATGTTGTTCAGGGACTAAATTATGTTTCTCTGTGACTGGGTTATGTTGTTCAGGGACTAGCTAGGTTTTGTTTCTCTGTGACTGGGTTATGTTGTTCTGTGACTGGGTTATGTTTCTCTGTGACTGGGTTTATGTTGTTCATGGACTAGGTTATGTTTCTCTATGACTGGGTTATGTTTCTCTGTGACTGGGTTATGTTTCTCTGTGACTGGGTTGTGTTGTTCTGTGACTAAGTTATGTTGTTCTGTGACTGGGTTATGTTAATTGTTCAGGGAATAGATTATGTTTCCCTGTGACTGGATTATGTTGTTCAGGGACTAAGGTTTTGCTTCTCTGTGACTGGATTATGTTTCTCTGTGACTGGGTTAGGTTGTTCTGCGGGTTAATTGGTTATGTTTCTCTGTGACTGGGTTATGTTGTTCTGTGACTGGATTATGTTGTTCTGTGATTGGCATGCCAAGAAATCCCGTCCATTTTTCCACAGCGATAGTCAATAAAAGTGTAATTGATGCAAATCACCCATATTCCCCTAACGCTGGCGAGACAATTAACGGCAGCAGATTTGAGGGGGTGGATCCTAAGTTTTCCGTTTTCTTAGTAAAAGAGAAATAAACTTCTACTCCAGGAAGTAGCCTCCTATGCCCTGAAAAAAATGTTCCTTTCAAAAACCTTTATATGTTTACAAAATATGTAAAATGCACTAGACACAGGTACCAAAATTGTAAAAATAGACTTGAAGGAAATTAAAAAAAAATTCAAAAGGAAAAAATAATAATTTTATGTATGGAACTACAATTGACTAAGTTCATTTTCATTGGTCAATTAGCGGTATGATACCTTAATAAGGCGCGAGACTTCCACAACAACCAAGTTCATCGTGCCCGATGTTAATTTATACAAGGAAAAAATTATTTTGATATGGAAACACTGAAAAATTTGAGAGGCGTCTAATTTTTACTGAACAATTCATTAGTTTACTACAATCTATTTCACTTTCTTTTTCTTCTATTGTACTTTTTTAACCGCATATGATTTGCATGGAAAATCCCCCCTCTTCAATAAAAAAAAGACGGGAAAAAGGTGCAAAGGCTTCTGAATAATAAGTATTCTAGCTTTAATTTAAAACCAGTAAAACTTAAGATCCTTCCCTCAAAACTGTTGACATTAATTGCCTCGCGCACATCTCCCTGGGGAAAAATCACAGATTAACGCTAATTCCGCTTTTATTGAGTTCGCTCTAAAACTAGAATGCGTACTTTTTCTTGGCATGCTGTGTTGTTCAGAGACTAGCTTACAATGTATGCCATCATTATCAGGTAATGTTCAGTGACCATTTTACTGTTTTCAACAATTGTCAAATAAAAACATTACTTCTTGTAAACCTGCAGGTCAAGTGTAGTTTAGATTTTCTCATCTGTTCAATAAAATTTTCATATGTTTCCTATATGGGCGGGATATTTTATACCCCCCATGCCTTACCGGATCTGCCAAAGGATGATTAACAACCAAATAAGATTTTAAAATTAAATCTATTTCGAACAATATACAAACTAGGACATATTTTTCTTTATTCAGGCCTATTATCATTACTGGGCTATAAAAAGTAATCTGCTGATTTATATGTATGTTATAAGTACTAAATATAACAATCGTTATGAAAGCCGACCATTCGCCTGAATATTCCATCTCCAATTATAGTTTTTTTGTTCGTGCTAGATCAGTAGATGCCACACACAATCATAACGATAATGTTTACAAATGTATATTGCATCGGGATCGAACATGTTTTATATTAGAAAAAGCCATACCATAAGTAGGTCATACTCCAAGCTAGAGGTCATGAGGTCAAAAATATTGGTATCAAAGGAAAGGTCTTGTCACAAGAATTGCATTATTGAAATATGAAAGCCCTAGCACCAACCATTCAAAAGTTATTGCCAAGGTTAAAGTTTTTCATACCTGTTAACCCTTCTTTCCATAAGCTTAGATAATAAAATACAAAAACAAACAAACAAGAAAGAAAAATAAATGTTAAAAAAAACGAAACAAAACAAACAAACAAAAAAATGAATTCTGAATCTGGTTGAAACTAAAACTCTTCTAATTAAATGATTTCTTGAACAGGAGAAGACTGGTTTGGTAACCATCATTGACTCCATAGGAAAACCTAGAACAGCAAAGCTAGTCTTAACAACAGACACTCTGAGTGTCCTGAGGGAGGAAATAGTATCAACTGACAGCAATGGAAATGATGAGATGCTAAATCAGGTAACTGTACAGAACATAATATTTAAGAACAATTTTAATTATCTATGTTATGAGGTAATGGTATAGTGTCCCCAACATTATTTTGCTATTAGCACTATATCATTATAATCATCCTAAAGCATTTTTCTCTCTCAGTTTACTCCAATCTTGAACTTGACTTACAATTCCATGATAGCGTCATCTATATAGCTACCATATATACTTGCATGCAAGTCAATTTATGCCTATAAGTACTTTTTTTTGGTTCAGATTATTTTGGAGGAATTTGCCATTGACCTCCTTATAAGTCAGTACACTTTTTTGATAGAATCTGATGCAAATTTCAAATGAATATTCTATTATATTTACCCGTGTTTCAAAGAACACTGTATGTTTAGGGGTATAATGACAATGATATTTGATTTTTTATTTGATTTTGTTACAAATTTTAACAAAATTTAGATCATTAAAATCTGTAAGCACTTCTAATTTATGCACATGGTAACCTTAGCATTAAAGAATCTTAAGATTAAGTTTTCACCTTTATAGATGATTATCATTAGAGTTGTTACAGAATTACCTATTCCTCTTCCTGCTGAAAAAAACTGATGTTTCTAAAGCTCACCTTGTAAGTTGAACATAGAGTTTTGACCAAAATTTAATTCCCAGAAATCTGACATAGGCAAGTATGTATGGTTTATTTCAATGTACTGAATGATGAGAATTTCAACAGATCCGTGATGTATGCCTGGTTAGAGACGACTCTGGAGGATTAGGACTTGGACTTAAGGGAGGTGCAGATTGTGGCCTACCCGTCTTCATATCAAAAATGCCCCCCCCCCCCAATCTTCCAGCTTCAAATTCTGGCAAACTACTGATTGGAGATGCTATTCTAAAGGTATACTTTAATTAGCTACAAGAAATTTATTATCAAAAGTAAAACCTTTTCTTTACAAATTTGATAACCAGGATTCCTGCATCTTGAGTGTGTAGTTACCAACTGAAAGTGCACAGGGACAATTGTTTTTGGTTTTCTGTCTTAAGTTATAAGTACATTGTTAAAATCTTTTAATCAAGCAGCACATGTTTTAGATAAATGAGATTGAATGTGATAAAATGGAACATGATGCAGTCATTGAGACACTGATATCTGCCGGACAAACTGTTCTTTTGACCGTCAGATACTTCAAACCAGCCGCTCTTTTCCTGAAAAGGGGTAAGTACAGCCGTTTATATTTTTTCTGAGCTAGCTCCTGTACCATAATATCTGCTATACAAAATGCAAAAATTTGTTATCTGTATTACTTTTGTGCAGTATGCTTGTTAACATTTGAAACTTATGTGTATGTAATTCCAGCCTTACCATATATACATGTAATTCAAACTTATCATAATGTTTCTTGATATTTTTATTGTACATGTTTTCATAATCAAATTTTTTTTTCCATTTTCATATTTAGAGTCACAAAGCAGTGCAAGCTCTCCAGGAGCAAGTATTTAACATACAGAACTTTTACTGTATGGAGAAGTTGTATGATTCTTTATGTTCAAGCTCTCTTGCATACTTGTATAAATCACGGTAATAACTCATGTATAAGTTATTTCTCCCTAAAATTAGCATTAATTATTTGCAAAAATTTCCTTGTTAACGAACTTTTTGAAAAAAAAATTGCATAAAATAATAGTTATGTTAAATTGTCATTTATATTGTAAGTTGAGAAGTCATCATCTTACCTATGATCTTTGTATTTAGAGTTCTCAGTCTCCGTCAATCCTTGAACTTGAGCGACAGTGGGTTGTCTACGTCACTATCCCCTTACTTTTTGCATACCTGTCCAGATTCATTCCTGGAACAGATAAACTCAGGTGTGATATGCATGAAGTACTATATCTGGATTATTGGGGTCACAGGTGCTTGACGTTTTTAACCTTTCTTTTCATAAATAAAAATTCCCCCATACTATAATAGTATGGGGGATTTTTTATTTATGAAAAGAAAGGTTAAAAAGGTCAAGCGCCTGTGATTGGGGTGTCTTGGATGAAAAGAATTCTGCATACAATACTGAAAAATTGTTACAAGATAGGAATGGAAAAAAAATATTTTGACTTGATTTCTGATACCAGCACTTGACACTATGTAACAAGAATATTAAAATAAAACACAACCTAAATTTGGTAGTTATTTTTATTAATTAATGGTTTTGATATGAATTCTGCAATGGTTGTATTTGACTGCACTCTGCAATATGTTGATTCTTTCAGAACTAATGCCTTTGAGGTGGTTGGTGTGAATTCTGCTTCAACGGGAGTTGTACAATGTGAAGACAGTAGATCATTGGCCGATTGGATAAGAGCAATAACCAATAATATTTCAGCATTGCTGACTCATATGGTATGGGGACATTGTATCAATGCTTTGTTGTAACAATAAAATTCTAATGCTCTGAGATGTATGAGAAAAGTTAGCATGTGTCTCAAGTTACAGTTCAGGTTTTCACTCTTTAAATAGCAAAGAGCCAATTGATGGGAAATATGAATTTAATATTCATTTCAGATAAAAATGAGCAATAGACTGTTGATCCCAGAAGATCAAGTAAGTTGTGCAAACATCAGTTACAAAATTGTAAGATCCATAAACTAACAAGACATAGATTAAAAAAAAAACTTATGATACATGAGATTGTCATCTATTTTTCATTCTGAGGTTGTTCACATGACATGGACTCAGGAAAGGGTCTCTCCCATGCGACACTTTCAAGCCTGGAACCAAAATTTCTCTGTCTCAAAGGCGCAGAAATCTGTTTGTTTGATGTTCCTCCAGTAAGATCTTTCAGTATATTTTTCAGAAGGAATTTAACACATCATTGCTAAGTTCTTACATGTACATAACACAAAGACACAGCTCTTTTGTAAAAGAGGTAAATTGAAACCTTTCCCTTACCAAACTGTTATGTTTGCTGCAGACCTGCAGCAAGTCTGCTGCAAGTTTGCAGCAAACAAAATTGTTCGCAGGAAGAAAATTTTCTTGTTCGCAGATGATTGCCGCTAGCTGCGATCTTGCAGCAAACATTGCAGCAATTGCTGCAAGCTTGCAGCAAATTCGCAGGAACTCAACATATTTGCAGGAACATTGCAAGAAACATAAATGCCAATCTGTTGTTCGCAGCAAGTTTGCAGGAAACATTCAACAAATTGAATGTTTGCAGGAAGTTCGCAAAAACAGTAAACAAGACAAATCAGCCAATGAAATGCAGACTGAACTGAGGTCAATACAGAATTCGCCATTTTGAAATGTTTGAATTGAAGTTGTAGATGTCTCAGTATTTTGTTAGGAATATATACCATTTTGAATGATTACAAAAGCATAATTATGGATGTAGGAGTACATTGGCATACAAACATCTAATTGGTAAGATCTGATTTTGTTTTATTTTAATACGAAACAATTATCTCTTGAAAAACTGGTGTACTTGCTAAATCTAAATCTACTTATGAATTTCAATCTTTATCTTAATATCACATTTGTATGTTTCTTTAATGTATTAAAGGTTCAAAACCAATTTTTATAAATGTTTATACGTTTTCAAATAAATTGGTATTAACTGTAAAATTTTAATTTGTGTGTACAGAGAGTTATGTGCAAGGGTTCTTAATTTTTTCTGTACATGTCTATTACATCTGTACATGTATATTACATTTGAATTAAGAATAGTATGGGAACCTTGTCTAGGAACAAAAAGAAAGACTGTCAACAATTCAGAAACTTGCATCATTTCAGACACATGTTTCTCTATAATTAACAGATTAAGGTCAGGACAAAGGCTTTCTGCGAACTTGTTGCTTGTATGTAGGAATGTGCTGAAAACAATAAATATATTGCTTGCTGCAAGTTAGCAGCAATGTTTGCCGCAAGCTTGCAGCAATGTTTGCCGCAAGCTTGAAGCAATGTTTGCTGCAAGCTTGCAGCAAGGTCTCCATATTTGGAAAACATAATGTTTGCTGCAGACTTGCAGCAAACCTCATTTGCATGGTAAAATGTTTGCTGCAAGCTTGCTGCATACCTGTCGCAAACTTGCTGCAAACACAGCTTTGTATAGGCTGTCATTGTTTCTTTAGCTTCATTGCCGCAAGCTTGCAGCAATGTCTGCAGCAGGTTTGCAGCAATGTTTGCTGCAGACTTGCAGCAAATGTTTGCAGGAAGGCAGTATTTTTGGTAAGGGTTGTATTATTTTTAGATGCAGACAAGAGACGGGTACGCTGTGACACTGTATTCACAGTGTATGAGTGCATGTTTAAAGTTCTCAAGGTATCAAAATATAAAAAAAAATTTCTTTTGTTAAAAAAAAAAATAGAGATGCTTTTGTGCTTGCTGTAAAACATCCTCACAAAGTCAGTGGTCCTGAGTCAACACATTGCCGTTGGACGGCAACGTGTTGACTCAGGACCCCTGATGTTGTGAGGATGGCTGTATAATGAGTGTATACTTTTACATACATGTACCATGAATTCTTTTATAAAATGGATTTGTTTGAGGCTAAAGTACCACAGGCACTTGTTTCGTATACGGGGCACCCCCTACTTATGGTAAAAATAAGTAGGGGATGCCCCTTATACGAAACAAGTGCCTGTTTAAAGTACAGTCAGTCCTGTTATCTTGAAACCAATGGGGCCAAGAAATATTGAAAGATATCTGATAATTTAAGATATGTAAAGATTAAGTAGTTGGGACTTCCAACTCACCTCGACATATCCATTGAACTGGAGATAAAATGCTTCTGTGTTCAAGATACTGAAGTTCAATGGTACATGTATGTGTGAATGAGATTCTTTTTATAGCTGTATTTACATAAAAATGTATCTTATGTCATTTGTCAGGATGTTGAACTTTTGGATGATCGCCAGCATTGTTGCACCATACACTGTGGGACAGGTGAAAAATTTTACCTGAGCACAGAGAGTCGCTCTGATCTCCTCCATCTGGAGAAAGCCTGGTACAAAACTTACCACACCAGCATAACAAGCATAAAGGTAAACACAACCACACCAGTATAACAAGCATAAAGGTAAACATAACCACACAAGTATAACTATAGCAGCTAAACACAACCACACCAGTATAACTTGCAGTAACTCACAACCACACCAATATAACAAGCATAAAGGTAAACACAACCACACCAGTATAACAAGCATAAAGGTAAACATAACCACACAAGTATAACTATAGCAGCTAAACATAACCACACCAGTATAACTAGCAGCTAAACACAACCACACCAGTAAAACTATCATAAAGGTAAACACAACCACACCAGTATAACTATAGCAGCTAAACACAACCACACCAGTATAACTGGAAGCTAAATACAACCACACCAGTATAACAAGCATAAAGGTAAACACAACCACACAAGTATAACTAGCATAAAGGTAACACTACCACACCAGTATAACTATAGCAGCTAAACACAACCACACCAGTATAACTTGCAGTAACTCACAACCACACCAATATAACAAGCATAAAGGTAAACACAACCACACCAGTATAACTAGCATAAAGGTAACACTACCACGCCGGTATAACTATAGCAGCTAAACACAACCACACCAGTATAACTAGCAGTAACTCACAACCACACCAGTGGCCCTTTTCACAAAACATCTTACAACTAAGATAAAAATTTGACAACTCTGTAATTTTTTGTTTAATGAATATATTGATTTTTTTCCTTTATATTTTTACAAAGTAATCTGATGTAATAAAAATAAAAGACTTTTATATGTCCTACTACAGCTTAGATGTTTTTTGCAGAATGGGAAAATTTTTTTCCTAGTCGTAAGATATTTTGTGAAAAGGGTCACAGTATAACAAGCATAAAGGTAAACACAACCACACCTGTATGGCAAGCATAAAGGTAAACACAACCACACCAGTATATCTAGCATAAAGGTAAACACAACCCAACAGTATAACAAGCATAATGGGAAACACAACACATCAGTATAATTAGTATAAAGGTAAACACAACCACACCAGTATAACAAGCATAAAGGTAAACACAACCACACCAGTATAACTAGCAGCCTAAACGCAACCACACCAGTATAACTAGCAGCTAAACACAACCACACCAGTATAACTAGCATAAAGGTAAACACAACCACACAAGTATAACTAGCAGCTAAATACAACCACACCAGTATAACAAGCATAAAGGTAAACACAACCACACTCAGTATAACTAGCATAAAGGTAAATACAACTACACCAGTATAACAAGCTTAAAGATAAACACAACCATGCCAGTATAAAGATAAAACAATCAAACAGATATACAGCTAAACACAACCACATCAGTATAACTAGCATAAAGGTTAATACAACCACACCAGTGTAACAAGCATAAAGGTAAACACAACCATGCCAGTATAAAGATAAAACAATCACACAAATATACAGCTAAACACAATCACACCAGTATAACTAGCATAAAGGTAAACACAACCACACCAGTATAACTAGCATAAAGGTAATACAACCACACCAGTATAACCAGCATAGAGGTAAACACAGCCACATCAGTATAACTAGCAGCTAAACACAACCACATTAGTATAACTAGCAGCTCAACACAACCACACCAGTGTAACTAGGAGCTAAACACAACCACACCAGTATAACTAGCAGATAAAGCTAAACACAACCACTGTAATCACATCAGAATTACACAGACAGCTGAAAAGTTAAGCAAGCAATACCTGTATAACCAGCATAAAAGAATATTTAATTGATGAAAATAAAATAAATGGTAATGTTGCTTTTCTTTTACAGAGATTTTCTTATAACATGTGAATGTGTCATTGTAGAGTAAAACCTTTGGTTGCACCTGGAGGGGACAGCTTTCTGGATTAACCCTAGATCTGGAGTCTGCATTTTCTCTGTATGACAACACTTTAAAGGTATAGAGAGAAAGGGGGAAAACTTATCAAACATTTATAATTGTAACTTGCTTTTTTCATTTTCTTCATAGTGACATGTCAAGCAAAAATAATATATGTGTATATTTTTTACATAGAGCTACATGTGGACTTATAAATTCTCCCAACTCAAAGGCTTCTCTGATGACAACAGATCCAAACTGAGGCTCCACTTCCATAGTGCAGAGAATTCCAACAATGTGGAAACCAGGGTAAGGAAAAATAAGATTACGACAATGTTCAATCATTGATTTTATTGTACTTAATCAGTTTTAAAGTTCAAATATTTTTCCCAAAGTTTTAAAAGTAGATGATTGTACAGTAAAACATGCTTAGAACAAACAGCCAGTGATGGACAATTTTGCTTCGTTATAAGCATAATTCGTTATATCCATTAAGTTCATAATACATTTGAAAGCCACACGGAATAAAAATCACTTCACTTTAAGCATCAATTCAATATAAATGTGTTTTACTCTTTTTTTGGACTTCTACTGCATGTTTATAAGAGTAAAGAGCTGGAAACACTTATTATACCCTGTGTACTTTTGTAAGGCACAAGTTTTCAATTTTGACAGAGATATAATCTTTTGGGAACTATAGCCAAAAGGGAGGTTTTGACTAACACAAACCCCTACAGAAACTGAATAGATCAAAGCATCATATTACGTTAAATGTCTGGTTTGGATTGTGTTTGTAGGAGATCCAGTGCTCCAGCCTTCACACTCTGCTTTACTACATCCATTTCATATTATGTTAAATGTCTGGACTGTGTTTGTAGGAGATCCAGTGTTCCAGCCTTCACACTCTGCTTTACTGCATCCATGCCTTTCTGTCTGCTAAGCTGGCATCAGTAGATCCCTTGTTTCTAGGGAGCCATTAAATCAGAAGAGACATCGACAAAGAACCGCAAATTGTTTACGCAGCTATTTTGCTCTTTTTCATTTACAAATTACGGAACTGTAATATTTTTCTGAGGATCATCTACATTGTAGTTACTTTTAAGTAGAGGAGTTTGTTTCGTTGCAGTTCTCTGTTTCATGTGACTGTATAATGCCAGAAATTAAGTCCCCTTTCAAAAAATCTCACATGCCACAGTAACTGCTTGTTATCAAATCATGTAGTAGTTTAGTTTGAAATGACATTTGTCATATTTATTAAAACATGTATATGTATTTTCTTAATTCTGTAGTAACAACTTTAACTTTCATGTAACGGTGAAATGACTGTATTAATATTTTATATAAATTATATTTTACAATTTTTACATTTGTATATTTTATTTTATCTAAGATTTTGTATTTAGCTGGAAAAGTGCAACAATACATATTCTATTCTAATACATTAATTTACTTAATGGCCAGTTGCAGCTTCCATTCCTTTTTTAGTATATTTTTTTTCCAGATGTGTTCATTTTTAATGAGATTAACTTCAAACTCATTTTTTTTGTTTTGTTAATTTTTACTGAGAGTCTTACACTGGATTGTTTGTCTTGCTGTACAATGTTTTAAACCTGATGTCATAGATAGAAAAATCAGACTTCATGGCATTTTTCTAGGTTGATTTCAAGAGAAATACATTGCATACTATTACACCAAACTTACAATGTACCAGTACATGTATATGCTATATCATACCTAAAATATAGCACGTTCATTAGTCAACAATAGATACATACCTATACAAGATGAGAGGTGGTCAATTTAAGGCACCAAAATGTAGACTGTGTAATTCATATTGTATAGTCAATCAAGAGTGTGCATTTTATTCCAATGGTTTTATTACCGAGTTTGCCATAATGCTAGTTTTTCCAAACTTTATTTCTTCAATTAATATTCTATTTGCCATTTTGCTAAGTTTTTTTTTCAAAGGTTCATTAATATTATTGTGTTTGCCATAATGCTAGTTTCTTCAAAGGTTGTTATGTTTTGTGTCTTTATCCCATTGGTGCTATGTCTTGTGTTATTGAGTGGTTGCTAACAGTGATAATCTTGGAGTATTTTATTTTCGTGGATATCAATCATTTGTGTTGTATTGTTTTCCAAATCAAGTTTTAATCTTCAGTGGAATTTCCCTCTGAGTACTGTAGTTCCATATAACTCTCTCATGCAATGAAGATAGCTGTAGTACATAATATAACAACTGTTATAGCTGTGGACTTCGAGATACATATGTACAACATTAATTTTGTTATTTTTGTACATGTATGTCAGTAAATACATGTGGCTGTCTATATTGTAGATATAAATACTGGTTTAGGTTACTTGGGTCAAAAGATCACCATGAAGAAAAAAACCCAAAATATCAAAGGTATGAAAATTTATTTATTGCTATATAATATGTATTGATGTAGTTACCCTTGTAATGGCCATAGGTAATTGAAGAAGTTGCTTCAGCATCTGTAGTGTTAGTAGAATGGTAGAGAGCATGCTTTGTTGAGTTTTACATCGTCTTCCTACCATTTTGCTATTGTTACTGCTGTTATAGTGGATAGTTATATTGTTACCAATGATGACAAATCTTTGATCTGCCCCTTGCACTGTTTGTTAGATTGGCCAGATCAAAATTTTATGCTATATCTTATGCACAATCACTGAAATGGTATAGAGTTTGTATAACTGTTTTGATTACTGGTGTAAATGTGTGTAATCTTTCATATTGTAGGAATGTGTTGAATTGTTTAATCAGTATCTGTACTTAATGTTCATCAATTACAATTTCACTAATCTGATTTGTGGCAAATCTTTGTTAGATTTTTAACTAGTTTTGGTAATGTCTGTTATATTTGTACATGTAATGGTTTAGGCAATCACCATGTTCAAGAATCTGAAATGATTGTTGCATCAGGTAAATTTTGCTGATGTTGAATAATGCTCTAAAAGGATGCAAAATACAAAATGTTATTAATACATCTTTTGCTTTGTTTAAAACATGATATCCTGTAATTAGAATTAATATTGATGCAAAAAGGCTGCATAATAAATGCATTTTGAAAGAAAAAAAACTTTATCTACCTGCATAATGGCTGTGTGTCATGGTTATTATTATACAAGTAGTGCTTTTTATGGAATTTAGAATCTGTTGATATCATTTTTATGTTTTGTTTATGATTACTTCAGTGCAATAAAAGTCTTGAATCATCTGAACTTCTTTTTATTATATGTATGTGAACAGAGTTATGATGAGAAAGGTAATTTGTTAACACCTCCAACTGAAAACCATGTACATGTGTTACAATATATGTTATTGGTCATGGTTCAATGATGACATAATTATGAAATATAAATACAGACAAACCTTGTTATCTCGGACTCCAGGGGACAGAGAAAAAAATATGAGATATCCAAGGTTTCAAGATATGGAGGTAAAAATACATAATTTATATAGAAAAAGTGGTTGGGACTTCGAACTCCGACTTACCCATGGTATTTGGGATATCAGTGTTTGAGATACCTAGGTTTAACTGTATAAAATAACTTTTTGCTATCAATTAATATTATTTATGGTTCAAATTTAAGTGTATTCAAATTAACTTGCAAAATTGATCTTCTCGTAATACTTGACAATATTCACTTCAAATAACCAAAAATTGAAAAAATAAATAAATGAAGATACCGATTTGGAAAATATTTATGATTATGGCAAAATGATTATGACAAAGAACTGTACCAAAAAAGTAATTCAATTTGTCAGGTTTCAATGTTTGCTTTTATTGGGATTTTTTCCAGTGTCAAAATACAAATATCATAATAACGTATGGTTAATCCGGAAATAAAATGCCCGATCGACCATCACAGTAGATACCTATAACAAGTAAACAAAAACAAGACTATCTATTTATAGCTGTGACCAGAGACACAAATAACAAGCTTTCATTCTCTGCTGTGAGTTGGTAAAGAGACTTGGAAAACCAGATGGAACAAGGAAATTTTTATGAATAGGTAACAACTTCCCTTACTCAGACGAAGCAGCGTTTTTATTTTTATCGGAAAATTAATGTTCCTGTTGTGCAACAACCATGACTACAGTACTCAGTGGTCATGTAACGAGACCAATATCAGTACGTACACTTAAAAGTAAATATATATAAACTTCAAATTCTTGTTAACATTCATGTATCTTTACTCGATAAAGGCTGGCCATGAAGCAATGACAACATTTGTTTATGTAAGGGGGTGATACACTCTCAAATGCACAGAAAACCACGGGATTTGCATGTATTACCACAAATCTGATAAGTAGGGTGAGTTAACCATGCATCGGACACATACCTTGCTTCGGACAACTTTCAGCAATAAACTTTCAATGAACCCGAGTCTCCCCGTGTTTTTACTTGTTTCTGTCTTAAAGGTAAAGATATAAACTTTTTAATGATGCCGATTTTTATTTCCATGTTGTGATAAAAATACCACAAGAATGGCCTTGAAATTACGTCATATTTTGCATCATTAAAGGGGAGTAACCAGAATTTTACGATTTTGCAATTTTTAGAGTTGTCGCTCTTTTAAATAGACTTCAACGGAACGAGTCGAACCTAGGTAAAATTTATCAATGATTGATAATTTTACAGAAATTTTTCAAAAATTTTACTTCAATGTTTGTAAAATAATTTTTAGAGTTGTCTTTTACTAGTATGTTTATTTCACCGTACATCGGACACAAATTAACCATGCATCGGACACTTTCCGATGCATAGGTAATCACTTCCATTTTCATGTAAAACCCAAATGACAGCTGTTTTTTACGGAAATAGAAAATAGAAACTCTAAATTTTCAGTGAAAATACAGATAATTGATATATGACGACTAGAAGTGGACTCAATTTATTTCTTTAAACTAGATGATTTTAACCCACGAGACAAAGGCGTGAGTTGCCATATTACTAGCATTGTAAAGCCTTTCTAAGGCGATGTGATGCAACTAAAATCTCTTCATATTTGTGGATCGAAATAGTCATTCAAATTTAATTAGAAGTTTAATTTTTTAATAAAAGATAAAAATGTTTCGATATCAGTAATTTTAAAGCACCGAGATCAAGGTATGATATTTTTCTGGTATAAATATCGTATGTCCGATGCATGGTGAATATTGTCCGATCCATGGTGAATTCTGACTTATTTCGAAAAAAATCGGTTTTTAATGATATTTTCTCAATAAATAGGTCACGAATGTGTCAAAAATTTATAATTTAACCACGTACTACATGTTAAGTTCCATTTTGATAATATTCGGTCGGTAGCGATATCGCTAGAACTTGTTGAAGTGCAAGGGTGTCCGATGCATGGTGAATTCACCCTATACCATATTATACAATAAATATCTGGAGTCATGCACAAAACTTACAAAATGTACATTTTTAAAAATTATGAATGATTTTCTTTATCCCCCCCCCCCCCCCCCGCAAACAAAGTTTTGGGGTATGTAGGAATCACCTAGTCCGTCTCTCCGTCCGTCTGTCTAGCTGGCCATCTAGCTGTCTGTCTGCAAACGTGTCTGGTCTATATCTTTCTTACGGAGGAACATTAGAATCTACTACAAGAGATTGTTCATAACCTGAGGGTGTGTTATGACCTTGACATAAGGTCATTTGGGCAAGTTCAAGGTCACTGAAAGATCTAGAAAAAGTTCATAATTCATGTCTGGTCCATACTTGGTGACTTCTCATTTTACACAAAGATTGCTTATGACCTGAGGGTGTGACATGATCTTGACCTAAGGTCATTTGTGCAAGTTCAATGTCACTGACAGAAAAGTTCGTAATTCGTGTCTGGTCCATATCTTTCTTATGGAGAATTATGTTGGGATGTTGGGAGTTTCCACTTCACACAAAGATTGCTTATGACCTAAGAGTGTGTCGATCATGATCTTGACCTATAGTCACTGTAGAAAAATGGATAAATAATGCATCCACACTTTCCAATAGAGAAATACTTGAAAAATTGTAAATTTTTTTTTAAATATAATAAAAACAACATTACTATTAGTATATTCAATTTGATGTTTTTTTAGGCTGTGCCTTAGTTTCCCTCATTAAAAAAATATAATGAGCAATTGCCGGCCACTCTAAATGTTTAAACGAATTGTGAACACCTCTTAGTCAGATCCATCAAATACTAGTATTAGTGACTTGGCACCTCTGAAAATCCCAGTGGGGGTATTTGTCCATTTTAAACAGTTCTAGTTTATTTTTTCCATAATGGTAATAAATGGATATCTTCCAATTTTAAACTTTATAGTCATGTTATATGTATAGGAATCTAAATGATGTCAGGCGCTGAAGAAATTAAGGTAGATAAAGACACTGCAAATCCATCAAAGGCCTGGGAGAGAATCAGAATCCAGCAGCAGCACACCAGATGTCCCCACCCAGACCCCATCATCCCTGTCACACCTGACAAGATTCGATTTGTCTGTATATCTGACACCCATGGGAAGATTGAGAGGTCAGGCTTATGTATGCCTCCCGGAGATGTGCTTCTTCATGCTGGGGACTTTACAATGAGAGGACAGCTAACAGAAATTGAGAAATTTAACTCATACTTAGGTATTTAAAAACAGTGAATAATGTCTAATTCAGATGTTGTGTAATCCAAAATCTTGCCTATTATGATGAAATCTTTATGTCCCTATGGGTATATTCAGTAGTACATGTACAAAAATCTTGTCTAATCCAGAATGTTGTCTTATCTAGCCAATTTCTTTAGAACCGTGTATTGTCCGGAGTAAAGTTTTACAGTCACTGTACATGTATCATCTTGGGCAAAAAAGACAGATAACTTTGTTTCCAAAACCACATGAACCATATAAATATTTTTTTAGTAGAACTACTAGACAAATTTAATCTTAATTTAGGGAAAGACTTCTAATTTCATAAAATTGTAATTAATATTAATCCAGTTTAAAGTTTTCTTTTATTGTAAAGATGATGATTTTACAAATATAAAAAATGCATTTAAGTACATTTAAAAATGCAGTGAAATTTGTCTAATCTGGACACCAACAGTTCCATAGAAATTGGCTGTTTTAGAAAATATTTGATAAGACAACATTAAACAATTTACTGAAAAGGAACTTTTAGCTTACTTATAAGTATAGTCTTTACTTTGGAGTATACGACATCCGGATTAGACAATTTTTACCGTAATTACAATTATTTAATATTCATTTTAATGTTACCTGTGAAATTATTAATTTCATTATAATTATATAAACAGGTTTTCTGCCATACAAGGTAAAGGTTCTCATTGCTGGAAACCATGATTTAACCTTGGATGAGGAACTCAGTGATTCAACTTTGCGATCTTTTGGACTTCAGCATTCTGAGATTGAGTCATACCTTAAATCCAGGGGACTTAAATCTGTCAAGGAAATGTTAACAAATGCAGTGTATCTCCTAGATTCCTCAGTCAGTATATGTGGGATCAAGCTTTATGGTTCACCTTGGTAAGTCTTCAAGTAATTTTTTTTCATCATATACATCTATAATTGATTTATTTATTTTCTTTTATTGCAAAACTAAATACTAGGTATACTTATACTAAGTCTTTCTGAATATATAAGCTATAATGAGTTCAAATTAAAATGTGAAGAATTTTATACAGTCAGCAAGCACACATTCAATTTTTGTGTTAATTGCTAGCTACAGATCTGCAGCTCACTGGTCTGAAAAAAAATTGGGATGGACGACCAGAGAGCTACAGTACGTGCCACCCATTGAAAAAAGTGTATATTTATTGTGCACAAAAAAGTGTGATTTAACCTTGGATGAGGAACTCGGTGATTCAACTTTGCAATCTTTTGGACTTCAGCATTCTGAGATTGAGTCATACCTTAAATCCAGGGGACTTAAATCTGTCAAGGAAATGTTAACAAATGCAGTGTATCTCCGAGATTTTGAGATATATATGGAGAAATAAATTGAGAAACAGCACACTTTTTTGTGCACAATAAATATACACTTTTTTCAATGGGTGGCACGTACTGTAGCTCTCTGGTCGTCCATTCCAATTTTTTTCAGACCAGCGAGCTACAGATCTGCAGCTAGTTAATTGCTAGCTTACATGTACATCCCAGATTGACAAAAAAAAAAAAGAAATTCGTTGCAGGCAACCTATTTTTTGTAACTGGGGTTTCAATGTGAAAAGAGGGGAAGAACTATTAGAGAAATGGCAGAAAATTCCAACTGACACTGATATCCTCATAACACATGGACCCCCAGTTGGTAAGAGCCCTTTATAATTGTCTCTGTATATAAGTCCATGATTTTTAGTTGAAAAAATGTAAAAGCTGTCCTCTTGAAGTGCTATATTTGTGCTTGCTGATTGTGTAGAATTCCCTTCTGCCCGTATTAATACTAATTTTTTTCATAAACAAAATGCTTCATATAATACCTGTATTAAATATGTACAGTACTGATAAAAACATATTTTCTCTGATCAATGTTTAAATATCAGAAAGTAGACAGCACTTTGACTGGGTGATGAGTCAGTTACAATATATACATGCAAGCATACAAACAAAATTTCAACATAAGAAATTGATTCAGAGGTAGATGTTTTATTTTTTTTTGGGGGGGGGGATTGAAAATTTTCCTCAAGGTTCAATACATGCTTAGCAAAGATTTAATTTTAGCAACCAACACTTAAAGTTACCAAATGGGTTTGAACACAAATTGCTTTATTATGCACATTTTATATCACTTTTCAAAAGAAAAAAAACAAACTTGTAGGTCACCAAAGCACTTCAAGAGAATGGCTTTTCAGTGGCGTAGGGGACAAGAATTAAAGAAATGTTGGGACAAAATTCCAGAAGATACTGATATTTTAGTGTCTCATACCCCTCCTTGTGGTAAGATACTGACTGAATATACAGAATGTGAAGTGAATGAAAACTTTTTTAGCTGGCCTTCAGTCAAATTGACAGGATATGCTACCCCCTAAAGCTGCATTTATTATAATAGAATGGCATCCTCAAAAATATTGAAACATATTTTTTATATAGTATGTATATTAGCTACACATTTTTGTCTAATTGCATATAGGTAAACTGTATCATGTGCTACACATTATAAATATTGTACATGTACACACATTGTACATGTATTTTCTTATCCTGTGGTATGGATATTTACTGACCTATCTGGACTCCATGATTAAATGATATGTAATATTACTAACAGGACATGGGGATCTGACTGGTGGAAACAATAATGTAGGCTGTGTAGAACTCCTTAACACAGTACAGAAAAGAGTCAAACCAAAGTACCATGTGTTTGGACACATTCATGAAAGTAAGAGATTCTAGTAGTGTGGATTGGAACAGAATTTCTTTCTTTGCTGAATAATGATACTTTATTATAATATGTCTTCATTCTGAAGTGTAACATTTTTTTTGTTCTGATTGATTAACTGGCTGCTAGAGGTCGCCATCTACATTGTACAGTTCTTACTGACCTGTTATTCTGTCTTTATATCCAGGAAAATGAGATGGTTTTAGAGACTTTATATCATACAAATAACCCTTGTACACTCATGAGAAAATAGCTTGCTTGTTTTAAACAAATTTGCATATACATGTATATCAAATGCAGGCAGCTGTATACAATGACATGTTGAACTTTTTGTAGGTTATGGGGTGACCTCAGATGGGTTCACGACCTTTATCAATGCTTCGACCTGTACTAGAAGATACAAACCCACCAACTCACCTATTATGTTTGACTTTGACATTCCAGAGGGGCATAGTAAAGAAGAACTTCTACACATGGAGAAAAATTCCTGATACTGATTGATTTCTTACATAGTTTTTTTTATTTTTTGTCCACAACTACATCTTTATTGAACACATGCATATACCGGTATATACATGTGCAATTTAGTCAGGGATTGAAAATCATTTTTTCCAGGAACTCAAATTGATGAAAAATGTTAACATAAACATTTTTTTTCTGCTATGATCATTAACAAGAAAAGTATTGCATGGAAGTTCTTCAAATTTTCAAAAATTAATTTTTTTAATATGTTTTTTAAATATTTTTTGTACTTCTAAATTTTATATTTACTCAGTAAGTCCACCATAATGTTATGAGATATATATATTCATTTTTATCCATATATTTAGAAAATGTTAGTAAAATACTCAGTCAAGAAAGCTGTCCATCTAAAGGAGGAAATATAAATGTTGCACAACATACATTTGTACTTATATACATATAATTGTTTCTTTCAAAATCAGTTCTACATTATTGGTATTTCTTTTACTTCCTCTTTTAAATTTTTAACTGTACTGTGTTCGCTATAAGTGTGTTTTACTGTATTGATTTTACTTTATTTCATTAGATTGATATTGGCTGGATTTTATGTATACTTTTTTATGAAACAATGACTCCACATCTAATCATACCCTAAAATAACATTAAGTCATGCTGTTCTGCATTATACATGTAATTGAAATGCTGACAGGGAACCACTATAGGCAATCTGCAGGGGGATTTTCAGTACTTTGGTAAAATAATTTCAGTAGAGAAACCAATCCGTTTAAAAATCAACTTTGTAGTAAATCCAGGGGTAGAAATTGTTTAAACAGTTGGTGAATCTTCAGGGAGGGGGTTACTTGAAATCTCTACAAAGGGAAATTTTCAAGGCAGTGGTTTTCTGTGACTAGTGAAAAGACTTTTCTTAAATGATATCTGTGATATTAAATGAATACAATATTTATGTATAATAATCTCTGTCCATGATTGATTAATTAATATTAATATTATACAAAGTTTATTAAAAGCTTTAATCTCAATCTATTTCTGAGTTTTATTTTTGCCAGTACATGTCAACAAATTCAAGAATTTTGTTCACTGATTTACTGAATTTACTGACCAATTATACACTGAAGGTTTCCTTCAGTAGGGTTGTCTTCCTCCTTCTCTGTTGATTCTCGTTTGTTAACATTCTTGCCAACAAGAAATGTTTAATATGAAAGGGATGTTTATGAAATGGTAAGATAACAAACAGTGACCATGCTCAAAAGTCCATTTAAATAATGCTACATGTAACTGTGCACAGAGCCAACATGAAGAAGGGAGCAGGTGCCCTGGAGGAGTAAGCATCCCCTGTCAACCAGTGCCGTTTGCCTCTTGTCATGCCAGTCGTCATGCCAGGGTAAATGGAAAGATCCATAGACGTAATGGCCAAACAATTTGTATGAAAGACGTAAGTCAACATTCTACATAATAGATTCTTGTATTTGGAAACAAGGCCATGGTATAGACCATAGAATTTGTGAAATGTTGATTCTAAAAAAGTTTGTTGATGTCCTTCTATCATCAACTATAATTTGTCAATAGCCTGCCTCATTTTAGAATTTGTATGTAGAACATGCTTTTTTGAGTATCGATTCATCTAGGAGATTTAAATGCCATATGAAGGTGATAATGGTGTATATTGATACATATTTGTAATAAGGATAGCTGATGACAGAAAAGTTCAAGTCATCACGTTTTGATCATAAAGTTTAGTCGTTAGTTTGCCATCAATGTCTTTAATAAAATATTCAAATATGAAACAGTTATGAAGCAGTTGTGTCATGTCTTGTTTCACATTCAATTTATAAGGAATAAAAATGAATATTGTCAATTGATAAAAGCGGCCTCGATATATATCTAATTGTCAAATTAAAGGCCACAGTAAAAGACTTGCTTCATGTAGAACTTTCTGAATAAATTCCGCTTCATAAAAATAGAAAAAAAAGTCTGCTAATAACGGGGCACAATAGGAAACAATGGTAATTCCAACAGATTGGTCTCCAAAAACTACTGACATAGATATTGTCAATGACAAACTCATGTATCTTTATGATGTCAACCTCGGAATACATCTGTGTAGAAAAGGATCAATGTTTTTTTTTAAACAAAATATGTTTGCAGATGATGAATGACGAGGTATGCACAAGTTCAAGAGTTTGATACAAAATAAATTCATAATTTATCTGTTTAAAGTAATGCTTCTGTATTTTGTTTATTTGATATGTAAAGTAATGCTTCTACATGTATATTTTGTTTATTTGATATATGAAGAAATGCCTTCATTAATGCACCAGAACCCACAAAAATCGTATCCATTCATTAAAAAAAGAATCTGATTCTAAGAGGGGTACTCCTCCCAGAGTCAACAATGTTGTTAAACAGTAAAACAATGGCATTCTAGCATCCAAACAGGCATCCTAGCACCCAAACATGCTTTATTAATAAATGAATAAAAATTAAAAAAGTGAAGTTATGTTTTCACACTATATTTGATAGAAAAATCATGGAAATTCATTTAAATTAAAATCGTAGTAAAAATTATGTGTAAAAATATCATGATTTTATCGTGACATTTTTTGCAAAAAATCGTGATATATCACGAAACAATATTTTTGGCGATACCCATCCCTATTATTTACCTTGTGACATCGACCTTGATGTTTTGCCTACTTTCCTAAAAATGTTAACATTGGTGAAAACTTTTGAACGAGAGAAGATAGTGTGTTCATAAATGATATGTGCATGACCTGTGACAAGACCTCCCCTATGAACTATGATTTTTGACCCCTGACCTTGAAGTTTGACCTACTTTTCAAAACGTTTAACATTGGTAATAACTTTTGAATGCGAGAAGCAAGGGTATTCATATTTGACATACATGTATGCATTACCTGTGACAAGACGACGATTTTTTACCCTGTGACCTTGACCTTGAAGGTTGACCTACCTTTCAATATTTTTAAAATTGGCGATAACTTTGAATGAGAGAAAAAAAGGACATTCATATTTGACGCGCGTTACATGTGACAAAACTTTTCCAAATGTACTATGTTTTTATACTTTGTGACCTTGAAGGTTGACCTACTTTTCAATATTTTTAATTTGGTGATGAAAACTTTTGAATGAGAGAAAGTAGGGCATTCATTTATGACAGGCGTATCATTTACCTTTCCAAATATATTATGGTTTTTGATCTGGTGACCTTAATTTTAAAGTTTTACTTACAGTAGTTTTCAGAAAAGTAACATTGGTAATAACTTTTGAATGAGAGAAGATAGGTTTTCATATTTTACATGTACATTTCATGTAACAACACTTTTCAGTAGAAGTTATCATTATTGATTTCATGACCTTGAGCTAGAAGTTTGATTTAAGGAATGAAATTAATAGCTACCCAATAGCGAAGCGGTTTATAAAAAAGCGTAAACTGTTCCAACCCACTTTATACCGTATAAATTGGGTAGCTATTAATTTCATTCCTTATAATTTAATTTTCATTCATTAAGTGTAAGAAAAAAAATGATTGCCCTTAAAAAATTACTTCAAATCGTACAAAATTTAAATGTAACGTCAGGCGGATCGATACGTTTTTGACGCAAGTCATTGTGACGTATAGGCAACCCAATTTATACAATATAAAGTAAATTTTTTATCCAATTAAATACCGCGTTATAACCAGAATTAAATTATTTACTTATATTAAAAAAAAACTTTGATCTTAATTTTGCTTCAGAAGAGACTAAACTTTTATTTTGCTTCACATATGTATTACCTGTGACAAGATCTTCCGAATTGTATTATGTATTTTATATGATGGACAGACAAGACAGAATACAGAGACAAGACAGTAACAATATACCATAAATAAAAACATCACAACCACTAAGGCACGTTAAGTGGGGGACCACAATTCTTTGAATTTGCTTGTTCTTAATTATTTTTATCCAGACGGTGTCTATATTATGTGTAAAGATTGAATTAATTAAATGTAAAACAGTCCGTATATATCAAACACGCATTAAACTGTAAGACATGGTAAGCTGTTAATACATTGTAAGCTGTAAATACTTATGTTCAAGAATCAAATGTCTTCATGTCTGATTAATAAGAAAGCATGTCTTATGCCACTGCTACAAGACCACACACACTTTGGATTTTCTTTTTAATTCATCCTGAATTTTTCTCTCATAAAATTCTTTCTGTTCTTTCATTTTTTCCTCCATTTGTCTAATAATCTTCTGATCTTTCTGAAGAAGAAAATCAAAATGAAATTAATTTAGGTTCTTACATTTAGAGACAAAAAAGTAGGGTGGGATATTTTCAACTTTACCAGCATTAAATCCAGTCAATGCACTCACAAGAACTTGAAGTTTTCAGCATTTCTTTTATTCAATACCTCACACTTGTTACATGTGTACTAATCTAGCTCCAATAGATGATTACATGTATCTAATACATTAGCTCCAATCTATTAATTAACTGACTCCAACCCTACGTATATCTTTATGAAATCCTCATCAAACTATCATGACTCTTACTTCGTCTGAACTCAATACAGATCTATCAGTTCTACAAAAATAGTTCCCAATGGCTCTATTTACTCTTACCACACGACAATGCTTTATTCTTAATTCTGGTCCAGGTACCCTAATTGTGTCTATAACTCTCTAAACTTCATTACTTTTTCACCTAAAAATACAGCTCATCATTCAAGTGCCTGTGTGAGCATTGTTACAACGCAAAATGTAATAACAATGCAAAATGTTATAAACTGGGATTATTATATTTTCTTTATTACATTTTGCGCAAAGTGTAATAACGCAAAATGTAATTACAGACCTTTTAGGTTTATTATATTTTTACGTTTTTACAATTTGCGTCCAGATTAACGCAGAATGTACTGAATAATGTACTTTTTGATTATAACATTTTACGTTATTAAATTTTTGCGTTGAGACCAACGCAAAATGTTATAACACTAAATATAATAACACAACATAATTTTTTTGCATTGTGTTCAACGCAAAACATCATAGAATTGATTTAAACATATCTTAGATATTATAAAATATGAATAGGTATTGTGCCGAGGTGGATGAGTCGGTTAGGGGTATGAAATGCTTTTAAAGTTCTTTATATAATTTTTCTTTGTTTATGCGTAAATAAAGCTTTGTCTAATATTTTTGAATTTTTGTTTCCTGGTTAATTTTTCATTGTACGTTCCTGTCAGAAAAAATGTACGGCCACTGGAAACTAGTGGTACTGAACGAAAAGATTATTTTAAATCGGTGGAATTAAATCAATGTTATAATTGGCGAATCAAATACCAGTTACTCAAATATCTATAAACATAAGACATGGGCATGCCCTTTTGCATTTCAAAAAAATGAAAATTAATAAACATTATCCATGTCTGAAAGCCAGGAAATGGCACATTATATTTGATCCCTTGAAATGGAGCTTGCATTTTGCATCATTCTATATTTCGTAGATCAGGAAACGGCGATTAATAAAGCAATTATATAATCATTGGTGTAAAAATTCTCAACCTAACTGACCAAAAAGTGTGTTATTACATTTTGCATTGTTGCGTTTTGCGTAATATCGACGCAAAATATTATAACAAAAACTAGAATAATCCAAAAAAAATATTACATGTACTACATTTTGCTTTATTACGTTTTGCGTTGACATCAACGCAAAACGTAATAACGCAAAATGTAATATTCCTAAAAGCTTCTTATTACATTTTGTGTTATTACATTATGCGTTGATTTTGGCATTCTCTACACACAATTTGTAGAAGAAGAAGGGAAGACTATCCATTTGCAAAATATATTACCAAGTAGCCAACTGCTGATAATATTGGAATAATGCCATGATGTGAGGACAGATCCACACCTTAGTGCCAGACAATAGCTGTAATAAGGCAAAATCTGTATTGACCTTGTTTGAAAACAGATACCAGAATTTTACATAGCAGATTTTAAGAAATGCTCTATATAAGAAAAGGTCCTCAGATGCAAAGGAAAACCCCCATGAAGCTAGTTCCAAAGTGGTTCACCCATTGACAGGATTGCCATGGACATCTTAGGAGAACTACCAACGACTGATAACGGCAACAAAAATATTTTTTTTTTTGTTTCAGACTATTTTACGAAGTGGACCGAATCTTTCCCTATACTGAGCATGGAAATCAACACTTATTGTTGAAAAATTGATTGCCCAGTTCGATGAACCGTCAGTAATTCATTTTCACCAAGCTCGAACCGTCAATGATTTACTATCACCAAGAGTGTGCTCCTAGAAAAGATGTGCTAGGTTCTTCAGACAAAGAAAACTTGGACCAACCATTACTGTCAACAAAGTGATGGCATGTTAATGCGTTTCAAGAAGACTTTAGTAAAATGTTAAGCGCTTACATGAACGACGAACGCGACAATTCTGATTGGGACAAACATTTGCCGTACGAGATGAGGGTGTTCGTGTGACAACTGACAACATTCCCAAATACCTGAAGCTTGAAAAGAATTTTTCACACCACTTTACATCAAGTTAGAGATGCCCAGATCAGTACAACACATACCTAAAGGCAAGTGGACCTGGGAATTAAAAGACAAGAAAAGCGCACAGAAACCTGTCAAAGAAAACATAAAAACGGCAAATGTTAGGCAGAAGAAGTATCAGGACCAGAAGTTGTCATTGCAGATATATTTGAGCCAGGATGCTAAGTGTATGTGGTCTTTCCAATTTGAAAGGCTCTGTGCTTACCAAAATTCACATGCCACTGGCGGGGTCCTTAAAATGTGTTGTCAAAGATGACGGATTTTACCTACACAGTAGATTGTGAACGTAATGGAAAGCACGTCAAACATGTTGACAGAATACATGTACCTCTTAGGTATTCTCAAACTTTGCAAGGCGAGATTCCTAATGATAAGAGAACAGGACCAGAGGTAGACCCTTAACCTCTAGGTAATGAGGCAGACGAAGAAGACGATTTATCACTTTACAAGGACAACATTCCTGTTAGACGCAAGAAAAGACCGTGCAGTGGACGAGGTGTCAATAAATGTCACAAATTGTCAGGTGTTGCAAAGTATATTTTAAGTTTTCGGAACTACCGAGGTACTGGGACTGCTACGATAATACACGCTGTTATATAGTGCGGAAGAAACCTCTCTGGAGACGGAGTGGATACCCTGGCTGTTTATCCTCATATATACTGTTATAAGACCTAGATATGGCAAACGGTGGCGGAAGATACCTGAGATAAAACCAGGAGCCTAAACTTAGACCTGAATAAGGCAGTCACTTGGTTTGGGAGATAAAAGGTGTGTGCCCGAGGAGTGGCAGGACTATAGAAATTTGTTTGCGAGAGATATCCGTTGACAACGGACAGTTGTTACCCAACCAAGAAGAAAGAGCCCTTTTATTTGTAATCCATTTGCAAACACCTGGGTTAACAGGGTATCAACAGAGTCTCAAAGCAACGCCTCGGCGATAGAAGACATATCACATTTCTCGGCTGCGTGGCACGAAACACTTGTTTGTTTTAAATTTAATCTTTAAGAGCCCTCTATACACTGCACACTAAAGAGTTCTGATTTTGTGGTATTTTTATGCAGATAGAGTTATCTGTCCTTTGATTAAGAATAAAATAAATTGAAATGTACAGTTTATAACTGAATTTGTGATCAAACCAAGCATTTATAACATTTGAATAGGCCAAGTTGAATTGATTGAAAACTTCATTTGCAGGTATTTTGCTGACTTAGGTAAACAACAATGATTTTTATTCATCAGAACTTCATTGTCTTTGAAAATTTTTCCTGGGGGTAAATGCAAGGTACCCTATGTAGAAAGTGTGATAGATAAGCTCAATATTTAAACCTTTGCACACTATAATTTTCTCTGTGTCCCATAAATATTTACCTCTGGTGTATAGAGGGTCCTTAATTGCTATTGAACCACGTGCTTGTTTGTTTCAGATAGAATCTCTAACTTTTATTATAGCACACGTTTGTTATGATTAATTCTGTAACTGTCCTTCATTTGTTTGTTACCTGCATTACCCACTCCTGGATTTCTGTGTCATTCAATTTCTGTACTCCTCCTTCCCTTCGCAGAAACGTTCCGTGGGGAGAAGAAGACAACATGTGTATGCCTTCTAGATCTCTAACATGGACTATTATTTCTATAACTTTATAATCCCCTGAAAAAAAAGAATAACAGCTGCAGTACCTTGCGAAAATTATAAAATAATAAACATGTTTTCATTAAGTATTTTTTTTTTTATAATTGTATTTTTGTGTTTCTTCCACAAAAACAATACAAAAAGCTCTTATGCAGTTCTGCATAGTGCGTGTACATTATTTAAAAGGTCTCTTTCCAATACGTCTCAAACGGGTATATACGACAAAAAAAAAAAAAAAATGGACACCATTCCCTGAACAGTCGCAGATGTAGAATCCGAGTCCCCTAGAGTTTTGAACAGGTTAAAAAAACAATGCATGTTCTTTCTACATGTATAAAAAAGGCCTTCTCTGTGGTGTCATGCTATTATTAACGATTTCATACTATTCGTTCTTGGTCATATACGACTCTCAAAATTTAAGAAAATAACCAATAATAGTTGTACATGTACTAGTGCATTTCCTAGCGGAATTTTAATTTTAGGCACAATGCATCTGCCAAACGATAAATCTACGATTTAAGAAAGATTTTCTATGTACGACACTTAATACAATCTCCTCTCTAAAATCTACAATATTTACTTATCCTCTTTTGCAGAGTCTCTTTAATTTGATTGTTATGTGTAAAAGGTAAAATTCCATCTACGAAGATATGTATTGAATGTACCTTTTCGAATTTCTGATTTTTTCATTACAGGAGTGAACTTGACGTCATAAGCATCAGTAAAGATTGGTGGATAGATGCTCTTTATTGCTTCATCAATCTCCAACCTCAACTCGTCCTCCTTGGCTTGTGAACACGAAACTCCTTCGACAGACCCTCAAATGTAATATACATATGTTTTATTTTAATTATTTTTTTTTATATTTTAGAAAAAGCATACAACATGTGTATATACATTCATTGTAAATAACAACATCTATACAATATTACGATATTTTTCATTCGCTCCTTCCTATAAAAGGTGAACATGAAGAGCATTTTCGCTTTAATTTATACATACCACTGTCATCTACCCCGAGGTACAATGTTCCACCCTGGCCACTGTTTCGGAATGCACATACGTATTTTGATAAAAGCTCTTTCCTGTCTTTTTTGTCAGATCCTCCGCAACTTTTTTTGAACTCTTTATATCTTGTTTCATTACCTAGTTTCTCCCCTTCTAAGTAAAACTTACGTTGTGATTGTTTGTCTTCCCCTGTAATACCTAAAGTACCTGGAGTATTATTTGTTCCATTGTATGTTAACAAAGAGTTGTGATGATTGTGCTGTTGATGTTGATCATGATAAACTCTGGTTAAAGCATCAGATGTCCTTGTATCCGGAAAGTGACTGTCCCCAGCCTTCCTGTTTCTTTCCTCAGGTGTAATCTTGTTTTTGTGACTAACAATTTGTTTGTATCCATACGTCAAAGGTTCTGATCCTCTGCAGATGGCGTTCCTATTAAAGTGAGTGTGTTTTTGTCCTCTAGACTTCCATGTATCCAGCTGATCGAGAGCATATTTAGCTCTTTGTTCCTCATAACAATCCACAAAAGCATGCTTAGACTCTCTTCTTCGATTTTCATGTATTGAGATGTCATTGTGCTTAATTTTGATGCTTAAGTTGTTGAACAAAGCGTTAATGTGGTCTTTAAGATCCTTTGAGGGTATGTCCTTTCGAAGATTTCCTAGATACACCTTTGTTTTGTCGATCGACACCATGTTACCTAATAACTGATAAATAACTGTTTATCAAGATTAAAGTAAAAACATAAAATTGAAAAGATTTTCATTATTTTTTTTTTTTAATTTTATACCTCGAGAGTTTAGGAGAGCTGCTACAAACAAACTTTTTCCCTTCAAAACTCATAAAATTCATATTTATATAAGCGAAATAAATAAGTTCAGTCGTCTAAATTCCAAATTTCATTCTAACCTTTTCAATAATGTCCTTTAAAGTGATAAAAAATGTATAGGTTTTATAAGGATGGTGCCAAAAAAGAAGTTTAAATATCAGAGAAAGTCTTATTTTCTTATATTTTAGACAATTCGTATATATGCATCATTTAAAACCAATATAAACCCAACAAGCAAATTCAAAGAATTGTGGCTCCCCGCTTTCGGTGTCTTTGTGGTTGGGATGCAATTATTTATGCCGTATTGTAACTGTTTTGTTTGTGTGTCCTGTCCCATCACATAAAAAACAAATTAAATTTTTGAATTAATAAAAGTTACGGCAAAGATTAAAGTTTCTCAAAATTGCATCAAACTTTATAATCAAGGTCATGCGGTCAAATATATTAATACAATCCTTAAGATCCTGTAACAAGTAATGCACTTGTGAAAAAAAAATATGAAAGCCCCGTCTTTCCTGGAGCAAAAGTTATGGCCAAAGTAAAAAAAATTTGCTAAGTAGGTCAAACCTCTGGGTCAAGGCCATGAAGTCAAAAATGATAGGCTAAGTTCTTTCTTATAGGTGTTGTCATGGGTAATGTAAAAATATGGAAGACCTAGCTTCTCTCATTTTAAAGTTATTACCAACGTAAAAAAATTGAAATAGACTTCACCTTAACTTTTCAGGTTAAGGTTAAAAGGTCAAAAACCAGAGTGCATTCGGAAATCAAACGTCAAGGTCAAGGGGTCAAATATCATGGCACGTTCGGAAACTTCTTTTCAGAGGTAATGCACATGTCAAATATGCATGCCCATCTTTTTCATTCAAAAGTTATAACAATGTTAAAATTTTTGAAAAGTAGATCAAGCTTCAATCTCAAGGTCAAATGGTAAAAAATCATAGTCTTGTCATAGTTCATGTACATGTGAAATATAAAAGCCCTATCTGTTCTCATTGAAAAGTTATGACCAAGGTTAAAGTTTTATGTGACAGACAGACTAACAGACAAATTTAATGTACCCTCACTTTTGCAAAAGCGGGGGACAAAATGTATGCCAATCTATGACTCCAATTTTTTGTTTGTAGCAGTTGTCCTTAATTTCATCCTGTGCTTATGATACATATGAAAGCTTAACACCATCTCAGATGGTTCAAGATTATATAAATGCCATGACGCAAACTTCCTTTGAAATAATTAAAACATGTAGCATTTTTTTTTAAAATGTTGAATTAATTGATCAAGGATTTATCGAGGAGCTACGTGTACCCGTGTATTTTTTTTTTAAGTCCGTACAATGACTGGAAAAAGTGGGGAATCTATATTAGATAGCAAGTAAAATGTTGATCTGGCTTATTAATAAATTGATATTAGCCTATTTCTATGTAACAATTCACAAAAAGTTTTATTGCAAATCCCATGCAGGCGTCCAGTAAATTAAGACCTATTACCAGTATAGATCTATAAAATATCTGATGCATGGGCTCTATAGAACAGTCTTTTCTATGAATAGTTTTTTTTTTCAAAGAAATAAAACCGAAAGTTCGACATAATGTCAAAATAGGCCATAGCTATATGTAATCTTCTTTTGTTTCGTACTATTTTTTTTTTTTAATATTTCCAATTAAATATTCTTTAACAGCCTTCATTCTCTCCAAGTCTTTGATTGCTTAGATATTTAAACAAAGAGAAATGGATGTACATAATAAGGTACAGTACTTTTGTTACGAAAATATAATAAAATTTCTTTGCCTATTGTTACAGCTTTGTATTATTATTTACCTATATAACAATATTATAATAAATAATATCTAAATGTTTTCAGATGACGATTTTTCTCCCACTTTTCCGCTAGAAGTAAGATTTTCGATCTTTCTGTATATTTATAAATTATATATATATAAATTATATATATTATATATATAAACTCACCAGTCAAAGAGAGCGCTGAGAAAGGTTATATGATTCGGTTGACAAGGAAGTGTGAAGTAAACAAATCAGGTTTGCAGTGACACTGCACGAAAAATCGCCTTTTGTTTAAACAAAAGATAACCAACTGGCCATCTTTTGTTTACCTTTTTGCAGCTTTTAACCTCCTTTTATATTTTTAGGAAAGGTACAGAAGTTAATATTTTGTTTAACTTTTAAGCATGAAAAAGATATCCAAATGGCCCACTTTCATAAATCTTTTAAAAATAGAAATGCAATCTTTTATCATCTTTTAACATGAAAAACCCAATCTTTTTACATCTTTTCAACTGATGCAATATGGACTTTTATTGTCTTTTTTCTTTTAAAAAGATCTTCATCTGTCAACTTTCTTTAACCTTTTGTTTTTAGGTCACCTGAGTCACTCAGGTGACCTATTGCTATCTGTTTTTGTCCGTCGTCGTGCGTCGTCCGTCGTGGGTTAACTTTTGAACATTTTTAACTTCTTCTCTAGAACCGCTCAACCAATTTCAACCAAATTTGGTATAAAGCATCTATGGGTGAAGGGGAACAAAAATTGTGAATTTCATGGTCCCTGCCCCCCCCCCCCCCCGGGGCCTGAGGGGTGGGGCTAAAACCACCAAAAAATAATGCAATCTTTAAAAATCTTCTTCTTTACTCCTGAACATCAAGCAGTCAAACTGTTGGCATCATTGTAATAAGCATTGAGCCCTCTACCAAATTGTGAAATTCATGGCCCCAGGGTCAGGGGTTCTGGCCCCAGGGTGGGGCTATATAGATCATATAGTGAAAGTGCATTATTTCTTTGAAAATCTTCTTCTCTGCTCCTGGGTATTAAATAAAGTTACTAAGTACATAGTTATGATGAGCAAGAGTGCCTTTTCCAAAATTGTGAAATTCATGGCCACAGGGTCAGGGGTTCTGGTGTTAGGGCGGGGCTATATAGATTATATAGTGAAAAAGCATTAATTCTTTGAAAATCTTCTTCTTTGCTCCTGGGTATTAAATAAAGTAACTAAGTACATAGTTATGATGAGCAAAAGTGCCTTTTCAAAATTTGTGAATTTCACGGCCCCAGGGTCTGGGGTTCTGGTGTTAGGGCGGGGCTCTATTGATTATATAGTGAAAATGCATTAATTCTTTGAAAATCTTCTTCTCTGCTTCTGGATATTTAATAAAGTAACTAAGTACATAGTTATGATGAGCAAGAGTACCTTTTCCAAAATTGTGAATTTCATGGCCCCAGGGTCAGGGGTTCTGGTGTTAGGGCGGGGCTCTATCAACTATATAGTGAAAATGCATTAATTCTTTGAAAATCTTCTCCTCTGCTCCTGGGCATTAAGGTGATAAACTAAGTACATAGTTATGATGGTTATGATGAGGAGGTAGGTCTCTTCCAGAATTGTGAAAGCCATGGCCCCTGGGTAAGGGGTTCTGGTGTTAGGGCGGGGCTCTATTGATTATATAGTTAAAATGCTTTAATTCTTTGAAAATCTTCTTCTCTGCTACTGGAGACTATTTAAACAAACTAAGTGTATGGTTATGATGCATAATGATGCCTTTTCAAAAATTGTGAATTTCATGGCCCCAGTGTCAGGGGTTCTGGTGTTAGGGTGGGGCTCTATTGATTATATAGTGAAAATGCATTGATTCTTTGAAAATCTTCTTCTCTGCTACTGGAGATTATTTAAACAAACTAAGTGCATGATTATGATAGACAAGGATACCTCTTCCAAAATTTTTAAATATATGGCCTCTGTTTTTGGGGTTCTTGAGGACGGGGGGGGGGGGCTCTATTGATTATATAGTGAAAAAGCATTAATTCTATTAATCATTAATTAATCCTGTCTGCTCCTTAGTGTTGAGCTGATAAATAAATTGCTTAGCTATGATGAAAATGGGAGCTTCGAACAGAATTTTTAAATCTTGTGGTCCTAGGGTCAGGGGTTCTGGCATAACGGGGGGGGGGGGGCTTTTGATAATATATTGGAAAAGTGTTAATTCTTTGAAGTCCATAGTTTTGATGATGAGGAAAACTCTTCCAAATTTGAAAATTTCTTGACCCTTGGTCTTGGGTTCTGGTGTTAGGTTAAGGCTTTGTTGAATCTGTAGTGAAAATGCATTGTACCTGTGAAATTCTTCTCTGCTTCCGGGCATATCGGAAGCAAACTGAGTAAAAGTTTAAATGATATGAGTAAGCGTATTTCTACCAGATTTTTAAACATCTGGACCATTGGTCTAAGCATTCTGGTCCTGGGCAGGGCTCTATTAACTTGTATTCTACTGAGAGAAGTTATTCCCCTTTTCCATTCACCTTTGATAATTAATCACTGTAATTAATGTATTTGAAAGGTTAATAGAATAAGATAATTATGCAAGAATGTTTATCGTATAATTAAAAAAGTACTTTCTTAGTTTTAATAATCAGGTAGACCTGTAAGTAATAGATAAATAAAAATGAGACAAAAATAACTTATCTTATTAAAAGTTCTTCAAAGACCATAGGAGAGGTCAATGCTAGAGGTCTTAATATGGGTTTTAAAATAGTACAGAAGCACTAATAGTTTGTTAATAGTCTTCATGGTGATAGTGTTAAGTGGGGGACAGATTTGAACTTAATTTATGAGTTGATACTGAATACTAGACTAATTATTTTGTTGATCCTGATCTTCCTACTTCTCTTGCTTTAGGGCAACAATGCTTCATCTATCAGTGTATTTAACTTCTAAATTGTTGTATTATACTCAGGTGACCGTTAAGGCCCTTGGGCCTCTTGTTTTTTAAATGCATTGTTCATACCTCTGCTCCACCTTAAGATATATTATAAAATATCACTTTTAATAATCTTTAATTCATCTTTTATATCCATTTTATGTCTTTTGATCACCTTTTATTATAAAAAATGTCACCTTTCGCTACCTGTACTTTTCTTTTATACTTTTGTATTACCTTTATGCATTACTAAAGTTTGTCTTTATGCACCCTGTATTTTTAATACTTTCTACAGGTCTTTAATATGCCTTTTGATTCATGCTTAATAATGACAAATTATCTTTGTCATTCAACGTAAAACTACTTACAATGTTAATAAATTTAAAAATGATCGATTGTACAACGAATTTATTCTACAAAATAAATAAATTTATCATAATAACATGAATAATGACTAGATTGTCTACATTTTGCTTTTAAATGGCAAGAATACACAAACATAATTTCAATATAAAGCATTAATGTAAGCATCATTATGGAATTTGTTTAAAAAAAATCATTTAGGAGGCTGGATGATCAATATGCAATCTTGAAACTTACAAAATATACTTCACTATATCACAGTGGAAATTAATTACTTGCATAGCTAATTATGAATACTGATTCAATTACACATGCACATTCTACAAATTAAAAATTAACTTTGTCTTAAAGGGGATTGGACACAGATTTGAAGTTAATATTTTCTAAAAATTTCAGCATGACTCATATGTTGCTAGAGCATTTCACGCCGAAATATAATAAAAGCATGTTTAGAAACTTCATTCATCTGGAAATTACTGAAAATACGAATTTCGGGACGCTCTTGATTGATACATCCTTGCAACTTCATTGTGTATTAATGAAAAATATTAAAACTATAATCCAGAAAATTCAGAGAAGAATGTGGGAAAGCAAAAATCAACCCACCAGTATTGTCAATCCATGCTCAGTGATGTGTGCAGAGTTACAAATTGAACATACTCGGTAAAACATAAGCATTAACAACGGAGCTCGTGTCCTGTTACAAACACAGATGTTTGCGCGGGTATGTTAAGGCTACACCCAGAGATATCCTACTTGCCTTCACAATATGACGTCATGGTAAGCTGTATGACGTGAACTATAGAAATAATGATTTCTTAATATCTATCTTTAAAGATTAATTTCAGGTCCAAGAAAAGAATGGAATCATTCAAAACATAACATAAACTAAATCTTGTCGTTTTTGGGTGGTATAAATAGCTAATTATTTAGCACGGGGGTTAAATACCAAACCCATGACGTCATAACTATTGATCAAATATTTGCCGAGTGAAATGAGAATTCATGTAAACAAATAGATGAAATGGGAGTTTTAAGGAATATACCATGAATGTTATGTGTTATTCATAAGGAATTAAAGATTAAGAATCAGGTACGCTGATATATTCTTATCATGTTTTCTTATAATGAACATAGTCAGTGCTTTGAAATCCCGATCAGCCGTTCCTCTGTCGTTCTATAACAACAAAGATGCAAAAGTTCAACACTACGCCGCATACTTTGAAATATATTTTTTGTTTGTATCGAAAGTTTGTATTCTATAGTACTTGGAAAGTGCTGCTAGAATCGTGTGGTTAACATGAATTGATAAAAATTCCTTGATCGTATGTATAAAATGTAAAAATTTTGGTAAGGATTCAAGCAAAACTTTGGAATATTTTTTTCTGTGTCAGGAGAGTAGGATTCTAGCAGCACTTTTCATGGCCCAGTGATGTTTTTACATAATTATTTTCACTAAAAGAAATGAATTATCTCTGGGGTAGTGTTGAACTTTTCACTTTTTCATTAAGGCAATTTTTCTATTTATAGACGTCACGTGATGACGTCGTAGTGGAGTCTGTCTTTTAGCCTAAGACTCAATGACGTCTATACAATGGATAATAATAGTAAATGATTTATCTATGGTTTTTCCGATTTATCGATGTTACATTCTACGAAAAAAGTCTAAATTCGCCGAAATATGATCTGGGTACTGCCTTAACATACCTGCGTGACTTGATGTAAAGAATGTCATTGAATTCTGAGAATATTCTCGTATTTCAATTCATTAAACTGAAGTTATTTTTGAATAAAAATTGAAATTTAAAATTGTAAACAATGAAATTTTGTCCAGGCCCCTTTAAATTTGTTCAGAGTTTTAAAAAAAAAATGAATATAAAAGTACCCCCTAGTCTAATGAATATGCAATTTTGACTAAATTACTAATAAAGTATAATTCAATTGGTATTTAACCGTTATGCTTAACACAAACAAAACCAATAAAAAAAAAATAAATAAAATACCAGGGACCTTTATACTAGTTAGTATATAGGTCCCTGAAAATACTACCGTAGCTAGTAAGTTACATGTTTATACAGGTACAATTGTACATTTGATTTTTTTTCCCAAAATGTACATGCATATTGTCTTCTAACAACTCTGGAAAATTATCATGGAAGCAAAAAAAAAAAAAAAAAAAAACATTTGAGAATAAAATGTTTTCTACTTGTACAATGTATTTTATAGAAAATTAGCAAACAAAAATAATTTACATATGAATGTACCTGATACATGTTACAACTGACTTAATTAAAAACACTTGTGTGTTCTTAAATTCAGTTTTTCCATACAAGATTTTATGTATATTTTCACGTGCTTATTTTAAAAAACATATTCAACTGATTTTATCAAGTTGGCATCAATTTACAGAGAGCATTGAATCTAATAAGTTTTAACATTAATGGCATGCAATTCTTTAAAGGTATATATGGAGTATAAATGCTAAAAGTTATTTTTGATATGAATTAGCGACAAAATGGGTTTTGAATATCAAAATTTAACTTTTCACACACAGTGTGGACTCCAGTAAATGCTACTGTCATCAAAATCTGGTATTTATCATAATTTTTCTGTTTAACTTGCACATGCTCCTATGATTATTCTATCTGATTTAATAAATATCCCAGTATTCTATTGTCCTGAATCTCTCAATCAATTGTCTCCATTGTTGTTGTTGTCAACCAAAAAAAGAACCAATATAAGACAGAGTTATTCACAGTATTTGTATTTTTTCCAGGTTGGAAAATGAAGTAAAGATTTTTTTCTTCAAAATTTTGAACTGACAAGAAAAATAACACCATATATACCTTAAATAAATCAAACTAATCTTTTTTCACCATCCAGGGAAACACCTCTGGGCATGTAGGAGATGGCTTGATGTTTACTGCCCCAACACTCCTAGACTGTAGCATTCTTTTACTTTTAACAGAGCAGATTTCTAAGAATGTTTTGTCAAGGTGGGATTTTACTTTTGTCAGTTTATCACTTTGCCAGGAAATTGGATGGGTGATGAATCCACCATCGCATTCTTCATCGCTAGAGGTAAACTCCACCTTAAGAATGTTTCTCACCTGTGTCCTCCTCATTTCATTCTCCCACACCCTACTGGCTAGGCGGTCTAATGCTTGCTTTCTCCTCTTTGCTTTCTGAAGAAGATTGAAATTAAATGTTTTAAATACCTAAATACAGTATATAAAGGATGCAGATTAAGGGTAAATATTTACATTTGCAAATTTTTTCTTTTATATAACACTATTAAAAGCAACGCGTATCTATATCCGTATAAACACGGGTTCCTCGCGTCATAAACGTTTGACGTAATTTCTCAGTGACGTCATAAAGGGTCGACGTGCAATCAATGGATCAAATGCGTGCCGTTAAGTTTGAAAAAAAAAATTTCACGCGTTAAAGATTATAATCAGGCAAATATAAAATATGAATAAGTCACAAATGTAAATATAAGTAATAAGGTATCATTTTAAAACATCTATCGGGCTATAAATATGAGTTGGTACGAGATCAAATTTACCATAAACCCCTTCGGGCTTTATGGAATTTGATCTCGTGACCAACCCGTATTTATATCCCGATAGATGTTTAAAAATGATACCTTATTTCTTAAATAATCAAGTAAACAAGGAAACTCAAAGAATTGTGGTCCCCTACATTTCGAGTCTTTGTGATTGCATGCAGGGGCCAACTTTAAGGTATTTCCATCCTCCAGAGATATCGCAGGTCTTTGTAAAATCTGTTATTAATTTAATTTCATATCCAGTAGAAATATATCTTTTGGAAGAATGCTTTTCAATAGGCATAATGAAAAATACTGTTTAGGATAAGAATCAAAAAATTGAATATTTTCTTTATTTAATCAATTATTCAATCTTTAAAAAAAGTTGCTAAGGGCAATAACTCCTTTGCATGTATCCTCATTAAGACATTTTCTTTATTGTACTTCTAACGTAAAGTGGCTTCCCTGATATTCACAATTGAAACATATTTCTGGGTTGCAAATAACATTTTAAACCTTATGGGCCATGTGGGCCCCCAACTTCACAAGTTTTACTAGCCTACATTGATATTTTGGGGCCCACAATTTTCTGTAAACTTAGTAAAAAAATCTTTTCTTACTGTCTTATTAAAATCTCAGAGAAAAAAACTTTATTGTCCACAGCATTTCTTTTCAAATTTTCCTCTGAATTTCAACACCACTAATGTATGAAATGTATAGGAGTAAAATATATGATTAATTATCAGATACCATTCTTAAAGCGAGAGAAAACATAACAAGAAATAATACCTGAAGTAAGCAACAAAAATGTGTCACGGTAAATCGAAGGTTTTAACAATGCTTGGATCTGTAGCTCTCTGCTTTATCTGTGTGAATTTTCTCAAGCAGAGAGCTACAGTTCTGCAGCTAATCGTAACCATCTTGATTGTGTGTCCTTCAAACTTCTAGATCAAGAACATGAAGTCAAAAATGATATACCTTTTTTAAAAGTGTTGTCATAGGTAATGTACATGTAAAATATGAAAATCTTTTCTTATTCAAAAGTTATGATCAAGGTTAAAGATTTTGTGACAGACAAAGATGACTGAGATTTATTGTCCCCTTGCTTTTGTGAAAGTGGGGGACAATATATAAATCAAATGTTACCTCCTTCTTTCTCTCATATAAAACTCTCTTTTGCTTCTGTTCTTGAAGCTTGTTCTTGGACTTCAGGACTGCCTCCTGCTTCTTTGAGATAAAGTATCTTTTAATGCCACCTATTCAAACACAAGAAAAAATTAAAATACATTTGTGCACAATATACAATAAATTATCTGTCAGAGTTTGCAGGTGACACCAGGATTTTACTTTATTTAAATGAGAAGGTCACAACTGTCATTATTTTTTTTGTATTTGAGAGAGAAGGTAATTCTTAGAAAAGCAAAGAAAGTTAGACAAACAAGCAGCTAGAGGGGTTTAGATATTTGTCATTTTTTTTGGAAGAAAAAAAACTATGCTGCAATTTTTCTCCAGGTAGTGGCCAAAAAGTCTTCCTTTGCCAGCTCTTAATAAAACACTTGCAATTACATAATAAATTACATACAGAAATTAAACACTTGCAGTTATGAGAGGTTATCAAAAAGTTCGTGGACTGATGCCGTAAAATTAATAATATGCCGTTGATGCTTACAAAATTAATAAGAAACATAAAACAACAAAAGTTAAAAAAGTGCTGAAAATTTTAGCTAGATATGTTGATAATTTGCCAAACTATTGTTAAATACAAGACATTCTATGATAGGACTGAGATGATTCAGGGTTCAAACGATTTGGTTCGGTTTCGATTCAGTATGATATGGTTCGGGTTTTTCTGATTCGATTTGACTTAACCTAAAACAGTCTAAATATTTCTCATCAAAAATACAGAATGAGGTAAAACTTGCAAATTTTACAAAGCAATTGTGCCATACCAAATGAGTGAATTTAAACATGATTATTGGATGACAAATGTTCATATCAAGATAGTTTTTCTCCATTAGACTTGGGTAGAAATATATCAATTTTGAGTTGTGCCGCCAGGTCATATCATTGCTTACAAAAACTCAATCAATTTATTAAAAAACAAAACTTAATTATGAATCATTCTGCAGATAGAAAAGATGATGCTTACTAAATGTGTAAAAAATCATTGTTGTACCTTGAGTGGTTTTAATTTTATGGCACTAATCCACAAACTTTTTGATGACCCCTCGTGCATGAGCATATTATGTTTGTAAAACTTACAGTGGATGACCCTCTCTTCAACATCAGAGTTCCAGCCTTTGACGAACATCAAAATATGACTGGTCATATCTGTGTTTTCATCATCTTGCTGCCTGCAATTATTGGTTCATCACAAATACAAAATTTATCTTTTGATTACCGTAGGATTTTAAGATTATCTGATAAAAAAGATAGTTATTTACTAAGAATGATTTCTTCTTTAATTTCTTCATAATTTTAACCTTTACAATATTTTACAAAAAGTGGGATATATGTCAATAGTCTCTATACTGACTTCTTTTTGTCAAATATCCAAGCATATCCACGTTTAAGGCCATCGCTATAGCCATCCCTAATTGCATTCTGTAAAAAAATAAATATGATAAATAAAACTATTGCCATCAATCTGTCTTGAAATTATAAATGTACATTTAAATCAATTATTGGGACATTAATTTACCCGTATACTTGGTGGTACGTAGATTTTCTCTTCACGTGTTTCTTCCTTTTCCTTTTCTTTTTTCTCTAATGCCTTAATACGTTTAAGGATTTCATCTTGTTGGAGAAGGATTTTCTCCAATAAACTTCTAGTAGATAATTTAATAATAATGGAAGTTAGTTTTTAGGTTTAAGAATGTTCACAAACATGTTGCATTTCATTATATATATATATATATATATATATATATATATATATATATATATATATATATATATATATATATATATATATATATATATATATATATATATATATGTGTGTGTGTGTGTGTGTGTGTGTGTGTGTGTGTGTGTGTGTGTGTGTGTGTGTGTATTCAAAATGTACATGTAATGTACATGTATATTTACTCTGCAACTTGGACTTTTGCACTGTGTGCTTTACATTTTCAATTTAAACAATTTACCTATTGGACCTCAGGGGTCAACAAGATGATTGTAAAATTATGTAAATAAACAATCTGTACAATATCTTATTCCATGCTTTCATTTGATTAAAGAGACTGAATTTGTACAAAATATTAAAGCACTATACATATTTGTTGTGGAATGAAATAAAAGACGTCTTAATCGTATAGTGGTTTATTTGAGACTTGTTATCTATAGAAACGTAACGTAAGGTATTATGACGTCACAATAAAGTTAACCTTACATAAACTCGCGGATAATCCATGACACTCCGGGCACCAAAATGAATAGTAAAATTTTAAAAAGTTCATATTAAATTAACAGTTCCATTGAAATAAAAAGCAAGTTCATAATCACTAAATTAAGAGGTCCATTCACGGATTCTTTCTTTGGCTTTTGGTTTTGATACTCGAACATCTTCTCTTCAGACACTTTATATTTCAGGTTTTGTATCAGAGTCTCAGTTTCCGAGTGTTTGTGACGTAGTTCTGCGTTAGCTTTCTCCAGCTCCATGTTCCGAGTCTGTAGGTTGTTGTTTTGTGTCTTTATCTCTGCCATGTCCCTGAGATTCTTTTTCTGTGACTTATCTTTTTCCTTCTCCTCGGCCTCTTTAAGTTTTTTTTATCAGCTGAGTTTTCTCCCTTAGTTCCTCATCACGAGTCTTTACAGCGAACCTATAATCTCTCTCCCTGCTATCTACGGAGCCCTGTAAAGTTTGCAGCTGATTTTCCAATCTCTGTACGTTGATCTTTAGATCACTTATTTCCTTTCGAGTGTAATCACATCGTGACTGAAGACTGTTGTTTTTAGCCTTCAGATGCTCCGAGTCAGAGGTGGCGGTTTTGAGTATGTCAACTTGGCCCTTAATTCCTGAATCTCCTTATGCAGACGTCCGTTTTCGTACGCCAGTTTATTTTTCTGTTCCATCATTTCCTTCATCACATTCTCTACACGAGTCTGAAAATCCTTTTGTTGGTCGAATTGTGACACTCTCTCTAACAGGGTGGCATTCTTACGCTCCAACGCGTTCCTCCTTTGTGTCTGTGTCTTCAGCTCTGATTTTAATTTTTGAATCTCGTTAGTCAACTTGTTACGTTCTTCTTGCATGGAGTCCACGGTCCGACTTATCGGAAAGATAGGCCTAGCTGTATTCAGTAAAACACTTGTAGGTCGATGTTCAACGTTCAGTACTGTGGTTTCTGACTTCTTGCTCGTTTCTACAATGTTGACACTTGTTGATTTGGTGGTCTCGTCTCTGTCCCTCGTTAGTTTCATGTCGCATATACTTGTGTGGTGTTTTTTCTTACACTTTTTACACCTGTTACGGGATTTACAATCTGAGGCGCGGTGGTTTCCCAAACAGTTGAAACATAATTTCTTCCGTTTTAAGATGTCGAATCTTGCACTTACGTCTGTAACTTTCTTACAATCCCCTGGAAAATGATTCTCTGTGCAACAATAATGCATGGGCGGCTCTTCATCTCTGTTGTTTCAACATGAGGAGTTAACTCTCTTGTTTTCTGATTACGTGAATAATGAACGTTGCGTTGTTTCTTTGAGGCTCCGGTAAGAAACATTGCTGTTGCGTGAAATCCATCGCTGTTTTCAATCTGGCCTGATTCAAGGATTTTGACTTCTTTGCTGATAGTTTTACGAATATTTTGTAGTGAAATGTTGTCACCATCGTACTCACGTGCAATGTTTTTCCTAATTTCAGTTGGTAGCTTGTTGATTATGACTGGAATAAGTAAAGCTCCATACATCTCTTGTCTTTGTCCTAGACACTCTAAGCTCCTGACATGAGATTCCAAGAAATCTCCATAATTTCTTAAACTAATGGAATCATTTCTGAGGGCAGGAAGTTCGATGAGTGCTCTCATATGAGCGTTAATAATTTTCTGTGGCTGACCAAATCGTTCTTTGAGCAAGTCTATTGCCGTTTCGTAATTAGCATTTGTAAGCGCAAATCCTGCTATTGTTTGTGCTGCTGTGTCGCGTAATTGAGCTTTGAGATAGCTAAACTTTTGAATTGGCGTTAAAGTATGATTGCAATGAATCGTTGATTCGTAAGAATCCCAAAATGTATTCCATTCTAATACATCTCCGTAAAAATGTGGAAGATCTAACTTTGGTAATCGGTGGTTACTCGTGGCGTGTTGGGATGTTAATGACAAAACATTTTCCTGGCTACTTTGTGCATTGAGATCAGAGGCAGGAACATTGTTCAAAATATTCTCACAAGCCGTTTCACTTAGGTTAATTGTAGCTGACGTGTTAACGTTATTATCATAAATTTCTGTGGCGGGTATGAAACACTCAGCATTGGCGTTCAAAGTTTTACATGGAATTTTTTCTGTAAAGTTTTCAGTTTGCCTAATTTTACAGTCTAATTCATACATGTACTCATCTGTATTTGCGATTTCTGTTTCGTTGTCCTCTTCAGATAGGGTATCCAATATGCGGTCGTTCAATTCTTGTAGGGTCTGCCTTTTCAGCGTGAGATACTTTCTAATTATGTTGATTTCCTCGGTAATTTCTTCACTGGCTGGATTTTCCTTCAAGTCCAAAAACCGTCCAAATAGGTTTGTAACTGCTGATCTGTTGCCGGCTCGTATAGCTTTTAGTCTTCCTTCCATTGTATGTACTACGTAGAATTCCGTCGGTCACGGCACCAAAATGTTGTGGAATGAAATAAAAGACGTCTTGATCGTATAGTGGTTTATTTGAGACTTGTTGTTATCTATAGAAACGTAACGTAAGGTATTATGACGTCACAACAAAGTTAACCTTACATAAACTCGCGGATAATCCATGACAATATTAGTCCGAAATATCTGACGTTTTCCTGGCTTTTTTACTATTTTTATATTTTACGTGCCAGGAAAACGTCAGAACCGGAACCATTACGAAAACTGGGAATTCGCCGCCTCCAACCAGAGGCGGCATTCTCGGGTTGATTTTCGATACTTGCAAAGCGAATGAAATGTCAAACTCACAATTTATCAATAGTACAATGCTTTTAGAACTTACAAACATCGTTTTTATGGTTTGTTTATAAAATACACAATCCGATGAAAACATTTTATCTGAAGTCAAGATTTGTTTTCATTTCGTGCTTTTTAAAATCTTTCAAGTCTATCGAAATGATGAGTGATGTTTTCTTTTCATTGATATTGGTGAGTACTAGAAGCATTCTGCTATTGATAAATTGTGAAAACGGCATTTAATTCGGTTCCTAGGTATCAAATATCAACTCCGATTGGAGACAGCGAAATTTCCAGTTTTCGTAATGGCGCCGGTTCTGACGTTTTCCTGGCACGTAAAATATAAAAATAGTAAAAAAGCCAGGAAAACGTCAGATATTTCGGACTATATACATATATGCATATAATAAAAAAATAAATTTATATTAAGAAGATAATTGTGTTACCTACATTTATTTGGTTCACAAACAGGGGTTTCATTCACTTTAACCCTTTTGTTTGACTGCAGCTGGTGACTAGTACTACTAGTAGTCGGTGTAGAAGCAGCACTACTGGCTCTTGAACTGTCATTACCCTATGTCAAAACATTAAAGCGAAAGTAGATTTTTCGGAACCTCTCTAGAACTTGTGATAAAGCCCGTTTCGCTATTTTATCTCATAAATTTGTGTATTTTGGTAAAAATAACAGGCGAAGAAACGGTGAAAATACAAATAAGTCGTTCTATCGCTCTTAATCAAGTTTTAATATAAATCGCATTATTTTGCTAGTAACTGTAAAGTTTCCATTAAATTCGAAACTAATGTTGTAATATTGTATACTTCCTTCTCTACAATGTAAACAATTGAATTTTACAGTAGCCAGCGAAGATCATCCCGATCACATAAATATACTATCTTTGATTCGCTTTCTAAATAATCCGGGATTTATTGTGTGATAAGGTGCAAAAGTATATGCAACATCTGCATTGTTTTAAAGTTTTCAAGAGATAAGTATTGATGAGAGAAACCCTACCCGAGAATTTTCTTCGTCACTTTCCTCTTCCCCCGACGAATCGAACATGGCGGGCAGAATTCTGCGTCTTTTGGGGGTCTTTGCAGTTTGGCCTGAAGTACTGCAAGCCCCGTTTGTTGCCTGTTTTGGCGTGGAACCCCCGCAGGAACGTACGACACTCTCTTCATCATCATTAGATAGAAAGTTCTATCGTTAAAATGATATTGTCCTACGGACCCGATTTAACGATAGAATTCGTTCCGTGTATTGGCAATGTTGCAAAATAAACACGGGCGATAACTCGAACTCTGTGCATTTTCTATGAACAATCCAGAGAGTTCCGAATGACAACATGGCGTTAAATTTGAAGCGAGGAAAAAACGTTGAGAAAATGAGTTGAATTTTCGTATTGATATGGATTATATTTTAGGTTAAAAGACATATACCATCTAAAAAAAGGTTTGTTATGATTAATTTGGTAGTTATTTTCAGTGCAACTCCTTTTGTATTCTTCAAAATCATTTCGGAGTGGATCCACTCCGATTTGCAACATTGCAAGTATATGGGACGTATTCTAACTGTGGTGAGGGCTTGTCCCGAGACACAGTTAGATTATTCTAACTACATCATCATCACTGAAGATTCTTTCACTTTCCGAATCGAGAGGACAACTCATTTTTGAACAAGATACTGACGGCAGCGACGACTCTGCAAAACAATCCCGCCTCAGAGGGGATAGGCGGGAACTCCAGTTAGTCATGTGCACAGGAACCCCCTGAAACCCCGTTTTTGATACATGTGCTTGGAAGCTGTCGAGAGCATCATTGTTCAGGACATTTTTCAAATTCTTATTGGTATGTAGCTTAGTTTGTCTTTCATGTTCACATTTTTTTGTATATATGCTTGATTCAAAGATGAAACAGATTTTAAATATGGTAGAAATACATTAATTAAAAAGGAAAGACAGTTGAAATTGAAGAGACTTTGAGGCCTAGAGCATCACACTATCATTGTAGTGCATGTGTATGTATTTTTGCTAGAAATTGTATATTAGTCATTTATATTATGTAACACTGTACAGTGAATTTATTTTAAAATTTTTGCAATGTAAATAGTGATTTTGTTACTACATGCTATTAGTTCGGTAAACTATTTATTTTTTGTTTATTATGTTTAGGTACATACAGTATATATAATACCCCAGTTAATGAGCCCTGCTATCATCTGTGCTTTTACAACTCCTGTGAAAGCTGAATATCCATCAATAAAAGTTCACCATATTCTTCTCTGATGAGTAACCTTTAAAGGTATATTTTGATATTAATTAATAAATAATATGTTGATGGTGTGACTAATAGGGTGAGTGCTGATACCTCGGGTTTAATTGAGGTCCTTCTCTTCAAACCGCATGCCACATGAAATTTGGTAAGTCTAGACTCTGACGTCATGTGACGTCGTATGCAAGTTGCAGTTTCAGTAATGATGCTATGTACATAATTTGACTTAACAATTTCCTTCTGTAATTGGTTGCACTGTAGGGTTGGGTTCATAGTCCCATTAGGATAACAAAACCTTTTTATAGGGTCAAAATATTTTTTAAAATGTGTGTTAATATGTGATCTGACTGTATATATCATTAATCATATGCATTTTTGTGTTTTTATAACTTAATTAATCCTGCAGAATTTTATACTCAGGTCTTGTAGAATTAAAGAAAAGTAACAGTCCTACGAAAAATTGTGAATGGAAAGAAATATAACTAGCTGTGCATGTAAACATCACCTGTATATCATCTAAAGTATAATTTCTTTGTATTTTTTTTTTTAATTCAAAGGAAAAAATGGGAAAACATAATACAGAAAGCAAAAAGAAATTCAGACAAAGGAAAAGGAAAGAAAAGAGGCAAAAGAAGAAACAGCTTAAGAAAGCAAGTATTGAAAAAAACCACATTTGCCTCTGCAATGCTTCATCCTGTCCAGACAGAGCAACAATGTCTTTTATGTCTTCTTCATCACCACCCCCATCATCATCACCACAATCATCATCAACATTATCACAACAATCATCAGTAAAACCAAAAGATAATCAGAATTTAATAACATTCGCCTCAGATCCATTGTATGTTCGCTTTATGGAATATTCCATGTTGAAAAAATGTGTTGCAGCTATTGAACAAAGAGAGGGTTCCATGAAAATGTAAAACTACACACTCTTTTGGTATAAAAATTTCTGAACTGAAATTAATGATTAACATCATATGTAGTTTTTGTGAAAGTGTTGGGACATCAATTACAGACTTTTGATGCTATTTTCACTCATATGCAGATACATTTATACGATAGACTAAATATTAAGATACTACTAAATAGATAAAGGAAGCAAAATAAAAAGAAATATAAATATTTTAGTATTTTTGTATTCCTGAAATTAGATTAATATCAAAATTTTGAATTTAATTAATGTATGATCTAGATCATCACATCTGTTTGCTAAGGAGAGGTGTTTAAATGGTCCTATAGCCAGGCAGATATGGAGAGGTGACCCTCAAATTTTTAACATCTAAATTCATGAATTTTTGTTCTATCTTCAATAAATAAGATTGGTTGAAAAATTAACAGTTAATAATTGGAGATCCTCATGCCTTTTTGCTGTGGAGAGGTGTTTTCATTTGAAATGATCCTATAGCCTGGCTGTTGTAGTTTTACTTCATATTATTAAATGAAGGCACTACATAGCCGTTTTACGAATGCTTTTATTTACACTATGTACATACACTAAGACAGGCAAGCTCATACTGAATTCTGATGGCTAAGGCATGGCATTATCAAATTACAAGTATGAATGAATTATCAGAACTTTCCCAGGATAAAACTGCAAGGTTAGCAAACACGTGTGGTCTATAACGGAAACGCTTGTCAGATCCAATAAACAGTACATATCATTACACCTTCCCTTTGAGATTAGAATTTACAAATTTAAACAAATTATATGCCTTAGCAAAAACCAATTAAATTAACAAAAGTTTTATCAAGAAAGAATTTGAGGTCAGAGGTTCAAGCACATGACCTACCGTTGGAGTGTTGTCTTTATCACAACCTCTTACAAGAGAATATATATAGATATGATTACAAAGGACTACACTGGATATATATTAATACGTTCCGATAAGTTTACCTGTGGAATTCGGATTAACTGTTGTTGACAAGTTCCGAATAAACGGACCCTGAACCCGATGTGTATAAACTACTAAAATATTTGTCAATGAACAATGAACGAAAGAATCGAACAATAATTGATTTATTTGAACTTTATCAATTTGATTTATGTATTGTAATGACAAAGCGTTATATTGTATATGTTCTATATAGGTACAACGTTATTAAGTAATTTTAGTGGTCAAAACCCGCTAACTTACAAATTAGATATTGATTGTGACGTTATTGGTATCTGACGTTTATACGTCATCATAACAACTTTTGTCTATAAAAGACAGCTGTTTTGTGTTTAGAAGTCAGTCAGCAGTGGGTAGCGACTCCGTATACTTCGGGTGTAAGACAGTGGTATGTACAAACAGTACCAAGTCTATGTATACGAAATCATTAGTGAAGAGTCATTTAGAGTAGAAACGTCCTGGATTGACCATTGGTTCGTCATCTTTGTATTAACCAAATAACGTTGTACCAGCCAAGTGTATCATTGTGCTTATAACTGAACCATTTGATGATCTTAATAAATATCATAAACTTTACAACGTGTTATTCATCACGGTTCTAGTGCAGATATTATAATGAACTAAAATTTGGTCATTTCGCCAATTATTCAGTGGACCAAAAATTGGTCATTATTCCGATTGTATATAGACTTTGTGGACAACCGTTTCAACCTTGACCAGTTACCAGTAACCAACAGCGGCCCACGATTAACTGATTTAGTTAATACCCTATACCCTCGGTTTCGTTACAATATATATATATATATATATATATATATATATATATATATATATATATATATATATATATATATATATATAGATAGATAGATAGATAGATAGATAGATAGATATGCATAATTGTCTGATACTAATAAGTCTTTACATTGCAAAGTCTTTGAATTTCTCAGGTACTCTTACTATTCTGCTGCCGCGCGTTTTCTGCACGGGCTTGTTATCGGCCTGCGTGTTGTCATTTACTGCAGGGTTATCGTTTTCGATCTCGGTGTTAATTTCTTCACCAGGTCTGCCATTTTCGCTATTTTTTATTAGATGCCTTTGATTTCTACGGTACTCAACGCCTTCGGATTCTACGATATATGATCGTGGTTCGGGACATTTTTGTACAATCACTCCTTCCTTCCATGGTTTGTTTTCGGTTTGAATGTTAACATTGTCTCCGACTTTTAGATTTGGTAGATCCCGTGCATTACGGTCACAATAAATTTTTTGTTGATTCTGCTTGTTTACAAGAGCTGTCCGAATTTTACGGGTCTTGATATGTGGTTTCAGTAATGCCTCGTGTGTCGGTAATATGGATCTCGTCCTGCGTCCGAACAGAAGTTGAGTGGGAGTTCCTACCCCATCTATCGGCGTGTTACGCAACTCTAACAACGCGAGGTTTGGATCCGTTTTAGCTTCATTTGATTTTTTCAGGATATTTTTTACAGTCTGGACTGTACGCTCCGCCATGCCATTACTCTGTGAGTAATCCATATTCCGCTGCAAATCTCTGGAATTCGTCACTGACAAGATTCGGCGCATTGTCACTTATCAGTTCCTCTGGTATCCCGTGGCGAGAAAATATTGGTTTTAGTTTGTTTATGATGCTGGAGCTAGTTGTGCTCTGCAGTTCACATATTTCAAAGAATTTTGAAAAATAGTCCACAACAGTAAGAAACGATTTCCTGTTTAGCTCAAACAAGTCGAGTCCTAGTTTCTGCCATGGTCTAAGTGGTACCGAATGTGGTTTCAGCGGTTGTTTGGTTTGTTTCCTTTTGTATTTGTTGCACACACTGCACTCCGCAACCTTCTTCTCTATGTCTGAATTAATTCCTATCCAAAACACAACTTCTCTGGCTCGACGTTTGCATTTCTCGACTCCCATATGTCCATAATGCAGTTGATTCAGGATGTCACTTCTGAGTTTCAAGGGTATAACAAGTCTGCGACCTTTTGTGACAATTCCATTGTAAAGACTGAGCTCCTCTTTAAAATTCCAGTATTTCTTAACGAAGTAGTTACATTCTGTAATATCTTCTGGCCAGCCTTCCAGAATTACTTTCTGTAAAGCGTTCATTTCTTTATCTTTCGCAGATTCTGTTGCCTATTCGTTTACCTTTTTGTCGGATATTGGTAAGTAGCGAACAGCAAATACTTTAAATTCATTCTTGTCACTCTGCTCCAATTCCGATTCTTCAGTTACTCGGCTTAAGGTATCCGCAATGTACAGATATTTTCGAGGTTTGTATTTGACATTTAGGTCGTATGGCTGTACTTTAATCATCATACGCTGAATGCGCGGTGGCGCCGATGACAGCGTTTTCTTGAACAAACTCTCAAGCGGTTTGTGGTAACTTTCTACATTGATGTTTTGACCATATATGTATTGGTGAAATTTCTTGCAAGCAAACACAATCGCTAGCAGTTCCTTTTCTATCTGTGCGTAATTACGTTCCGATTTGTTTAATGATCTAGAAGCATAGGCAATTGGTTGTCCGTTTTGTAAGATGCAGGCTCCTAGCCCTGTTGACGATGCGTCTACTGAAAGTGTTATTTCTTCGTCCGGATTAAAGTACTTTAGTACTGGAGCACTGACAAGCACGGACTTCAACTGTTCAAAACTTTGTTGTTGTTTTTCATGCCAGTGCCAGGCAACTGTTTTTTCAAGTAATTCCCTCAGAGGCTCTGTGATCGTGGCTTGGTTTTGTATAAATTTTCCTACGTAATTTACCAAAAAATTCCCAAAAATCTCTGCAACTCTTTTACATTTGTAGGCTCTGGGAATTCGCTTATGGCTTTTATTCTGTCAGGACACGTTTTAAGTCCATCTTCTCTAAAAATGTGACCCATATATTTAACTTCATTCATTTGTATTTTACACTTCTTTTTGTTTTTGTTCAATTTTATTTTCTCTTGACGCACTGCTTTCAAAACTCTCTCGAGTCTTTCATTATGCTGTTGTACGGAATTTCCCCATATAAGAATGTCATCCATTATGACATCACATCCTTCAATTTTTTTCAAAGATTTGAGACATCCTTTTTTGGAATACCTCTGGGGCAGATGAGATTCCAAACGACATTCGTTTGTAGCGATACCTCCCAAACGGCGTATTAAAGGTCGTTAGCTTTGAGCTTTCCTGGTCAAGTACGATACCCCAAAATCCAGAGGACGCGTTCAAAGTACTGAATACTTTAGCCCCTGTAAGCTGGTGTGTGATATCGTCAACGGTTTTCATTGGGTAATGTTCTCTTTTAATTGCTTTGTTAAGATCCCGGGGATCCAGACAGATTCTTACCCTATTCGGTTTTTCTACTATGACCAGTGAGTTAACCCATTCAGATGGTCCATTTACCTTTTCTATAACATTTAAGGACTCCATTCTTTCTAGTTCCTCTTTTAGTCTATCGCGCATTTTGTATGACACTTTTCTCGGTGCATGGACAACTGGCGGGACATTTTTGTCCACATGAATACAATGCCTGCCCCTCATACATCCTATCCCCTCGGATACGTCTGAGAAATCTCGTATAATTTCTTCTGCAGTCCTAGATTCGTTTACTGTCTTAAGTTTCATCCTAATATGGGATCTACTTTTCCCGGTACAACATAAAACTGCAGCGCGTAATATTTATTCTTGTGCTGCACTGAGCACAGAATTTTTCCAGATATTTTTAATTTTTGACCAGTATATGACACAAGCTTTGCTTTTGATTGCTGTAGTTTCCGTATTCCCAATTTATCGCACATGCTCTTTGGAATAATGTTACACTGAGCACCTGTGTCAATCTTGAACTTGACATTTGAGTTTTCTACTTTCAGTGTTGTGGTCCACTTTCTTCGAGTGTCGTCTGTATTTTCCACAGTCTCTTCCAAATTCACTGTCGCAATCTGATTCTGGGTCAACACCATAAATTTTCTTATTTTTTGTCTTCTTAGATCGGCACATTTTTGCGTAATGATTCGGTTTTCCGCATTCGTGACATGTTTGTCCGTAAGCTGGGCATTTTTTCAACGCATGTGATTTTCCACATTCTTTACAATTCTGGATTTGTTTTATTTCGGTTTTATTCGTTGCTCCTAACTTCTTCCCACCTTTTTTCTTAACCGCATCTATTTTCTGTTCCGCGGGTTTTGATTCCGCAAATGTTTTTATTTGGTTGTCAGACGTTTCCGCCGCCCTTCAGATATCCATTGTTTTATCCAATGTGAGGTCGCATTCCCTCAGTAATCTTCTCCTTACCGAGTCACTGGCGATTCCACACACAATCCTGTCACGAATTAAGGAATCATGTAAATCTCCAAATTCGCACGATTTTGCTAGAATGCGTAATTCCGTCACATAAGCATCTATTTTCTCACCCGGATTTTGACATCGTCTATTAAAGGTGTGTCGTTCATAAGCCACATTTTTCTTTGGATTGCAGTACGCGGTAAATTTCTCAATTATTTTGGCAAGTTTTTTCTCATCCCTGATCTCGCCCAGGTGAATGTATTGTAAATTTCCAGTGCATCAGGTCCAATGATATGTAATAAAGTATTGGTCTGGATTTCCTCGCCTTTTTCACTTATTTCTGACGCAGACAAATAAATTTGAAACTGCTGATGAAAACGTCTCCAATTTTCTTTTAAATTCCCATGTAAAGTCAATGGGCTAGATGGATGAAGTCTTTCGGCCATTGTTAATCCGTTAATTAATCCAGTTTTACTTCTGACACCATGTTGTAGTTTTACTTTATATTATTAAATGAAAGCACTACATAGCCGTTTCACGAATGCTTTTATTTACACTATGTACAAACAGTAAGACAAGCAAGCTCATACTGAATTCTGATGGCTAAGGCATGGCATTATCAAATTACAAGTATGAATAAATTATCAGAACTTTCCCAGGATAAAACTGCAAGGTTAGCAAACACGTGTGGTCTATAACGGAAACGCTTGTCAGATCCAATAAACAGTACATATCATTACACTGGCAGATGTGGAGAGGTGACCCTCAAATTTTTAACATCTAAATTCATCAATTTTTGTTCTGTCTTCAATAAATAAGATTGGTTGAAAAATTAAAAGCTAAAAATTGGAGATCCTCATGCCTTTCTGCTGTGGAGAGGTGTTTTCATTTGAAATGATCCTATAGCCTGGCAGATGTGGAGAGGTGACCCTCAAATTTTTAATATCTTTCATAAATTTTTGTTCTATCTTCAATAAATAAGATTGGTAGAACATTTAAAAGCTAAAAGTTGGAGATCCTTACACCTTTTTGCTGTGGAGAGGTGTTTTTGTTCGAAATGATCCTACATCCAGGCAGATGCACAGTGGAGAGGCGACCCTCAATTTTTTTATATTTATTATGCCTAATATGGTATTGATTTATTCTTCCCAAAGCCCAATCATACTTTCTGAATAAAAATGATAGAAAGATGTAGGCATTCATGCCTTCAACTTTATAAGCAATTAAAAAAATAAAAAGATCATAAGACAATGATTATATATAAACTATAGCTTGTCTTCTCTAGCAATCATTATTTTGAATAAATGTATTACAAGAACTACATTTGTTTTCAGAACACTGTTTTATTCAGTATCTTTTATACTCCACACAAAATATGTTACAGAATATGTTTATAAGACAATTTTTTTTTCATGTTTACAGATTTCAAAGGGTAGTTGTTAATGGAGACAAATATACATGTAATATTATCAGCAACACGAATGTTACTAGGTACATGTGCACGTGGTGCAATATGCAATCAGGAGCCTTCTCCCATTCTTCTGTTATGAACATGAGTTGATACATGCATGTTATGGATTTGTCTCTGATTTGTTTCGAAAGTTTTTGGTATGACAAAGATCTTTACTTTGTGGAAAATTAGATTATTTGTTCTCATGCTTGTATTACAACATGTCATCTGCAGCAAAGCGTCCACGAAAGTTTTGTACAGCATTTAAATTAGAGTTTTCAGACCGACATTTTCGGAGACATTTAGAAAACTGTAGCAATGATCTTTCTTCTGCAAATGTATTTACAAATAATGATAGCAATACAGGTTATACAGATGATGATTTTCATCAAGAATCTCCACTTTTCTCTGATGATGAAGAAGTCATGTATAGAAACTATGACTCAAAGAAAACAAATATTGCTCATAAGACTTTTGTAATATTAGTGAGGAAGATGCTGAAACATTTTTTGACACAGACTTTGAGAAATGTAGTGAAACTTTAGAGACCACTGATTCTGATATTGATGACACTGACATTTCTATTGACACAGATGTTGAAGAGCAGAAAAGTGCTGTAGTATCTGAATCAGAATCCATTAATATTTTGACACGAGTTGTATGTACTATTTTAGTACTGTGGCAGTCAGTATACAATGTGTCTGATTCAGCTGTTGATGCATTATTAAAACTGTTTTCAACTGTATTTCATTTTTAAGTAATTTTTCAGCATCACTACAAACATTAGTAAATGTTTTCCCACAGAATTTGTATGCAATGTCAAAAGTTTTAGTCAGTAGCAAGATACAGTTTTCAAGGTTTGTTGTATGTAGAAAGTGTTTTAAATTGTATGACTTGAAAGACTGTTTTTTGAGAGTTGAAGGCAGACAACAATCAAAACTCTGTAATCATATGTGCTTCCCAAACCATAGGCTTGTATACATGCGTAAAAAATGTAAAGAACCTTTACTAAAAGATGTAGGACCTTTACTAAAAGATGTAGAACCTTTACTAAAAGAAGCAGGCGTTTCCAAATTTGTACAATTTAAAACATATTGTTACAAATCATTAAAGTCATCACTTGAAATTTTTGTAAATCGTGAAGATTTTGAGGATAAATGTGAAAGATGGAGATCTAGACAAACCCAAGAAAAAATGCTTCATGATGTTTATGATGAAAATATCTGGAAAGATTTTAATGGTAGAAAATACAATTTTTTCACAGAAGAAGGTAATTATGGTTTAATGCTGAATGTAGATTGGTTTCAGCCCTTTAAGCATACCAATTACTCTGTAGGAGCTATTTACTTATCAGTTTTAAATTTACCAAGAGAAGAAAGATTTTTAAAAAGGG